TACTAAGGTATTTTCAGGATGTTTTCAGCTACAAAGAGTACTGTTGAGGACATGTGTCTTGCCATGCAGGTCACACCCCAGTCTTCAGACAGTGTTTTGGTTCCAAGTAAATGTGGCAACCCTCTGATGTTTACTTCTTCTTCATCTACAAGTTTTTCCTCATTGTGTTTGCTAAATAGGTTGTGTATTGGGTTGTTCCAAGAGGACCTCCAAAAAAACTTAGATAATAAAAGATGAAATGTAGAGTGAAAGAATCGGACTCAGGACTTCAGTCCACATTTCATTTACTCGCTGGTAATTATGCAAAAAATGTTTTTACCTATCAGCTTCCAAAAACCCATGGGAACATAGGTAGAGAATGTGTCAGAAAAATGACAAAGTCAATATCTTGTGAGATTTCTGGATTCAAATTGATAGACACCTTGAACATAACACACCAGACATAGTAGTAATAGAATGAAGAAAGTACCGGATTATTGACATTGCAATTCCAGGTAATGCCAGAGTTGAAAATAAAGAGCTGGAAAAACTTTACAAAGTACAGAGACCCAGCAATCAAAACATCGCACTCAGTGGTCCCCATAGTCATTGTGGCTTTGGGAACTACTGTATATAAAGAAATTTCACACAGTAGTTGCAGATCTCAAAGACATTTCACACAGTAGTTGCAGATCTCAGAAATAGCACTACCAGAGCTACAAAAAACAGCAGTATTAGGAACAGCATACATACTGTGCAAATATTTAACAGATACTTAGCGTTTTGATCAATACTTGTATCTGTTTTATAACACTAGTCGGCCAATATTTAACAGATACTTATTAATACTTGTATCTGTTTTATAACACTAGTCATTGTTTTTATAATTTTGATTGAATGTGCCTGGTGTTTTTGAATCATCATCGTCATCTTAGAACTTTAAGGCTGGAAGGGACCCTGTGGATCATCCAGTCCAGGCCCTCTCAAGGTAGGCACAGAAGGGAATCAAATTCCCATTCTCTGACGCCACAGCCAGATACGTAAACCACGGAGCTATCAGCAGTTGCAGCATGCATGACTGTTCTTTAAGTGAACTTTGTGTGTTCTGCACTTTCTGGGCAGAAAAGATTCCTGTGATATCTTTTCATAAAGTTTGCTAGGGTAAATATACACTTTTAGTGACCTGTGAATGATTTGGCAAGAAAACACTCATTTGAATAGCAGCTTATGTTCAACACAGCTTGTAAGTGGTTAAGCACAGGGTTAGCATTTTGGACTTTTATGATCAATACAGTATACAGTAAGAACAATGAAATGAAAAGAAAAAGATTAAAGGGAGAGGGAGGATTTTATGAATATTTTGAGTGCTTTTTCACCTTTGAAGAAAAGCAAAGCTATATAAGCTAGTGTATTAGGAGGAAAGGGGGACTTAAATTCTTCTCTCTGGCTAGGATCCGAGCTTTCCACATGGTAATTATTAATTTTACATATACATAGGGAGGTAAAAGCAAAGGTTCCCTTTGACATTTAGTCCATTCGTGTCTGCTCATCCCCGTTTCCAAGCCATAGAGTCAGTGTTTTGTCCAAAGACAGTTTCCATGATCACGTGGCCAGTGCGACTAGACACGGAACACTGTTACCTTCCCACCAATGTGGTACCTATTTATCTACTTGCATTTGCATGCTTTCAAACTGCTAGGTTGGCAGGAGGTGGGAAGAGCGACGGGAGCTCACTCTGTAGTGTGGATTCAATTTTACGACTGCTGGTCTTCTGACCCTGCAGCACAGAGGCTTCTGCAGTTTAACCCACAGTGCCACCACGTCCCTTACAGAGGGAGCTACTTATGCGTAAAGATACCCTACACTTGGGAACCCTGATTATGTGACTATGTACTAACTTCCCAGATCTGCTGGGCTCAAACCTTCAAACAGAACCACCTGGTGCAGTGGTTAAAATGCAGTACTGCAGTGAAGACCCTGCTCATGATCTGAGTTCAATCCTGGGCTCAGTGAGCTGGCTCAAGGTTGACGCAACCTCCCATCCTTTTCAGGTTGATAAACTGAATACTTGACTTGCTGGGGGTGGGGGAATGTGTAGTCTGAAAAATTAAATTGCAAACTGCCCAAAGAGTGCTTTAAACACTATGGGGTGGTATATAAGCAGCCCACTTTGCTCTTGCTTTTATCCTTTGGCTTAGTCTCTGAACTCTTCTCTCTAGTAACAGGTAGATTTTAGGCACATATACAATGACCGCAAAACCTGTGGAACAAGATATACACCCGAGCCAGAAGCACAGTGATTATGAAGAATGGTCGTTGCTCCTTTCTCAGTTTCTTTTGTGTTTGGTGTCTAGACAAAATATGTTCAAAGCACTGTAGCTGGGAGGTCATTCAGCAATATTGATTGGCAGTACATTGGTAGGATGCTGTGTGGGCAGTGATTACAGAGAAGTGTTAAAAGCCCGTTAGATTCACAGAAAGAAATCGACCTGTCACTACTAGCTGTAGTAGCTGAAAATCTGAACAGTATGTCTTACCCTGGCAGTGACCAAAAGCAAATGGGGACATATTTTTGCCCATATGCAAACTGCAGGTCCGGTTCACTCCCCTCCAGAATTGGACCACAGTTTGATTCAAAGAATATCACATCAACAATGGTCCTGATGCTACAGTTACGTTTGAGTAAGGAGAGAAAAAAATCCCAAACAAATATAGCTGCATATATGATCAGAATCCTGTTGCTTTTTTTTACCATTTGTGAAAGTTGCTCTGACTTGTTTGCTTATTGACAAGGTGCTGGTTGTGTGGCCAGGCATGAAACCACCATGTGGCTGAAACCTCATCAGTTAAGTTGAAGTGGCTTCCATTAATGGTACAAAGCTATAGAATTCTGATCAATGCAATACTTCGACCACCATTGTCTATTGCTCGAAACAGATTGCTGCGCTACTTTATTTGAGGAAATGTTTTATCTTCTTTCCTTTAAGCAGAGAGTGAGGAATGTAAGATACCTTAATTTCACAGTGGTGTCCTTTTGAGTTTGCGACATCAGAGGATGTACATATCTATGCCATCAGTGTGTGGAAAAGTGATTTTTTTACCTCAACTCTTGGAATGCTCTACCATGCTCACTATAGCATGAAGCACTTTTCCTGGTTCATTGAATCATTGTTTCCGGCGTGCCATTGTTTCCAGCTCTTGGCCCTGTTCTACATTCTTCCCTTCCAAGTCAGGAATGGGGAATCCCACTAGACATTATTGAACTGCAGCTCCCATCAGACCTAGGCAGGATAACCAAAGGTGAGGAATGATAGGGATGATGGGGGAGGTAGTACAAATATACCAACAAGGTTTCATCGTCCCCAACCCTGTTTTAAGTAACAGCTTCATGGTCCGTTGGCTCTACTGTCGGTCTCTGCTGGTGGGTTTGGCTCTGCTGTCACATGGCAGAGCTGTTACATCCTTCAGTGACATGCAAGTGTTCATCATGTTGTTTTTTGTCAACTAAGAAGGTTCTCCCAGATTTGTAAGATCCATTGTGCATTGTCCCTAACAAGATTTTCAAAGTAAGTGAGATATTTAGGTCCCTTCCAGCTCTAAAGTTCAAAGGTTATTTAAAGAGTGGGTTTACCAGTTCTACTCCCCTAGTCAGTTTCCATGGCTAAGTGGGGATACAAACCCTGTTCTCCAAAGTCCTAGTCCATCACTCTTTCCACTACAGCAGGGATCATTAACACCCGGTCTGCGGCCCAGTGTCGGTCCGTGAGCTCTAAAGTTCAAAGGTTATCTAAAGAGTGGGTTTACCAGTTCTACTCTCCTAGTCAGTTTCCTTGGCTAAGTGGGGATACAAACCCTGTTCTCCAAAGTCCTAGTCCATCACTCTTTCCACTACAGCAGGGATCATTAACACCCGGTCTGCGGCCCAGTGTCGGTCCGTGGATTTTCTGGAACTGGGCCACCGATATGGATCTCCACCCCTCGCACGCTCACGTGTGTGTGTGTGTGTGTGTGTGTGCACGCTCACGCGGGTGTGTGTGTGTGTGACGCTCATGTGGTGGGCGTGTCATGCCTGCAGGGGGCATGTTGACCATGGAGCTCGCTCCTCCCAATCGGTCCGTGGCCTCAAAAGTTGGGGACCGCTGCACTGCAGCACACTGGGAACCTTAAACTTGTGGTGGGCATGTCGTGCCTGTAGGGGGCATGTTGCGCATGGAGCTCGCTCCTCCCAACTGGTCCACGGCCCCAAAAGTTGGGGACTGCTGCACTGCAGCACACTGGGAACCTTAAAAGGAGATATAGTTGCTCTGAATTCTTGGTTCCTGAGATTTTGCACAGGTAAATATGATATAAATAGTGAACAAGTTGAGAAAACATGCATACTGGATTTCATATACGTAAATAGACCTTCTCACGCAGTATTATATCCTGAACTAATAATATGGATTCAGCTGTTTTTGCTGCCATGAAGTTAACCACTGAGAACATTGATGGGCTGGCTCTCCATGATATCACTAGGTCTCTTCCTTTCCCAATGTCTCATAAAACCATTGTTTTTAACTTATTGAAAGATGGTTTTCCTTGTCTGAAACAAGCATGTAAATAACTAAAGATTATTGCTGTTCTTTCAGAATTCGGGATAGAGGGTTTGGGCAGTTGAAAAGAAGGATAGCATACAATATTGAACTGCCAGATAGTTTGCTGATTTCATGTAGTTTTGAAAATGTGTTTCTAAAATTAAGGAGAAAACTAGATTGAGGAAGGATTTCAGGATGAATGTGTATGTTAGCCCTAGTGCACTTCCTGAGTTTTATTGCTATATATAAAGAGAAAATTGTTTGGGTTGGAGCAGCAGACAAAGGCATGATAATTTGAATCTAGGTGTGTCTGAATCCACTAACAGTGATTTTTATTCTGCTAGCACTTCGTGTTTTCCATGAGAAAGGCTGTCCTAATGGGGCTCTTTTGATCAAGTTTGACAAGGAAGAACCTGACTCTCCCCATTTTTCTCTTTCTCTCATTAGGTCATTATTGAAAGATACAAGGGGGAGAAACAGCTTCCTGTGTTGGACAAGACCAAATTCTTAGTTCCTGACCATGTCAACATGAGTGAATTGGTAAAAATAATCCGGTAAGTAAAATCCTTCAAAATATCTATGACCTTTATGAGCGCAGACACAGACAAACCCCCAAACATATGGGCTTCCATTCTGTTAAGTACTATATTTTTCCATCTGTAAGACGCTACTTTTTCCTAAAATCATTATCCTAAAAATTAAGGGGTGTCTTTTATACAGAAGTGAGCTAAGATAGCTGAAGAGATAACACGTATCTTGCCTCTCTAAACAGTCTTGCTTCAGCCAGGAGGCGTAGTTTCCTAGTCAAGTGACTTAGCTTCCTCCAATCACGAGCCTTATGGAACTGATGTCAGCTGATCCTGAACAAACCAATTGGAATACACCTCCTTGGAGGTGGAGCCTATAGGCTCAAGATTCAACAGAGACAAAATTTCCGATATTCTGAGCTCAGAAGCTGAATCCTCAAAGCTAATTTTTCTTAATTTGGGGGTTAGAAAATTGGGGGGGGGCGTCTTATAAATGGGGGCGTGTTATAAACGGAAAAATACGGTGTTAGTTCTTTCAAGAGTCCAATCCTGTGGGGTCTGGCAACAGGTTCTTCTTTGCCATGACTCTTGCCTTTTCCTGACTTTATTTAGCCACAGTGCACAGAAGAAAAAACATTGGTCCAGTGCCCTGTCACCTATACAGGATGGTAGATGGCGATCTAGGCTAGCACAATTCATGGCGCATCTGCCATGAGTTCCTCTCTGAGTTCTTATGCAGTGTTTTGGCATGAAGGATGTCACCTCTCCCTCCAGGTAGCACTTAAAACAAACCAATAAAACATGAATCCTGTGCTGACTGTATCACAAGAGCAGTAATTACAGTAATGGTCCTTTGTGAAGCACCGTGTGTATTAATGGGGTTGTCTTAATTGTGGTGATGGTGAGCAAAATCTTGAAGAGTGCAAAAAGAGTCCCAACTATGTAGCCCTATAGATTAGACAACTCAGCATCCTCCATGCTTTTATGGAAAATAGACAGACAGATCTGTCCTGCGTTTACACTGAGAAGACACATTTGCACCAGCTGTCGCCAATCCTAGTATTTCAGATCGCAAGCTCTTTGTGAGCAGGAACTCAAGACTGTATATCTCTCCAATATGGCATGACACTGTAGAAGCCAGTTTTCTGAATGCAGCCTGAAGGGAGCCAGTTGTCTGAGCTGAGAATAGATTGTTGAATAAAAATGCTAAGGAGTAGTTGTTTCTACATTAAGACTGGCTTGAAGAGGGACAAAGACTTTTTATCTCACTGATTGTTATTCAGCTCATTGTGCAGAGAGCCCTTTGCATTACCAGCCATTACTGTTTAGGCCATTTCACTGTCTCTCAGCTTCTGCTTTGTGTCCCTTCTGGTAAAGACAGTGGCAATCTCCCTTAAGGATGGCTCATCTAGATGTTAAACTCCATCTCCTGTACTTAGACCAGATTGAATTAACACCTTTCAGCCCCATATACACGTGAATCTGCTCATATTATGTCCTTGTCACTTCAGTCCCAACAACTTTTGGTTAATTGCCATTGTTCAGATAATCATCAATGTTTGTACCTTTTGCATTTCTATTTCCCTGCATCCCTCTCCCCTGCTAATAAGTGTGTGTAAATATCTGCAGCTGATGACGTGGACTGCAGTATGCATACGTTTATGCCAGGTAGAATGTGATAGTCTTTATTGCGCCACAAGACCAACTGTGATCATGTTGAACTCTGTATTGTACATAAGGATGGTGAAGTCGTCCTAGGAAGGAGAGGAAGAGTGAGGTAGTTGCAGGTACAGATTTCCATAAAGCAAGAAAGGAAACCTCCTGATATTTCAGGACTGCAACGTTAATTTACTAAGTTGAGGAAAAACTGAAGTGGGAGCATAGACAGGGAGGATGATACCCGTCAGTCTGTGCCGTGGCCAGATCCATCAGCACTCCCAAGTGCTGTTCTTGTGTGCCACTCAGTCTTGCTCCATGCAATGTGTGGCTGCTTTTATCTGGCTAGATTGACATATGTCCATAAGCTAGCCCCCTGCTGCCACTCTGCTGGGATAAATGCCTTCTTTGCTTCCACCAGGCGCCGGCTGCAACTGAATCCAACCCAAGCCTTCTTCCTCCTGGTGAACCAGCACAGCATGGTGAGCGTTTCCACCCCCATCTCTGAGATCTATGAGCAAGAGAAAGACGAAGATGGCTTCCTCTATATGGTCTATGCCTCCCAGGAGACCTTTGGCTACTGAACATGTATCATAAGGATCACCACCACCATCATCATCATTAAAGAACTGATTCCAAACTGTTGCAGCAACATCCCTGCCTCCCCAGCACTCCCCCACCCCTTGGCAAATAAGTGCAGAGAGCAGCTTGTGGCCCAGGGCCATCACAAAAGTAAGCTGTGCTCCCAACTCTGCAGTGCAACAGACCAAGATAGTTCGGTGTGTGTGTGGGATGCACGAGTCTCCATTTTTTCCCTTGCCATTGCCTTTGCCCTTTGTGTGTTCCTCTCCCATTTCTCTTTTTGCGCTCTCCCTCCTTTTCTTTGTTGTCTTTTGTCATCTTGCTTAGCCCAATGCCAAACAGATGGAACATGTGGCGGACAGAGAAAGGAAAGGAAAGTCACAATGTCCTCACCTGCCAAGGCAAGGGCTGGGCTTGTCCTTGAACTTCTGTAACAGGGCAGAAAGTTTGAAGACAAAAGCAAACATAAACGAATTAAGCAACTGTCATTACTCCTTGTGTTTTTCATTGATCTTAACTACTTGCATATCAATTCCTGGTGCTACAGAGTAGATGTAGGCCTCTTTTACAGGACTGTGTATAAATATATCTTTTAGATTTATTTTGTTATTTTTTAAGCACGATGGGGGAATATAATTTGCTTGTATTAGCTAGATTCGAAAACAAACAAACCTAAGCTTCTTTGCACTTTAAAATATAGAGATTAGAGTGAAAGTAGCTTAATTTTCAATGTTACGTCCATACCCTGTGTTATTCTATGTCATGATTTTTTTTAAAAGCCAGAATGTTTTCATTTCTTGCTTTCTTGCATGCATGGATTAATTTTTTTTTCTATTTTAGTCCCTTTGTGGCAAACAGACCATTCACTCAAGGAATGTACTGATTTATATTGCTACTTTTTTCTTTCTTTTTTTTTAAATTTATGATACCAAAAAAAGTATGTATGAACAGAAAAAACAAACACCCGGTCAAATCTATATAAATATCTATATAAATAAAGGTAAATTAAAGTTGTGTTGTTATTAGAGTGGTATATCTCTTCTCTTGATCTGCTGTATGTCTCCTGATGTTCAAACAGTGTTCTTGAAAGATGTGAACCCTCTGCCATGTTTTGCTACCTCCATAATTATGGTGCCTAAAGAAGATAGGAAAGTGATGTAAATTATCATAGCAATCAGCAGCAGCAGCAAATGACCAGCTGTGTACTGGTTATGGACTGGTGTGCCTATAAATAGTCATTGTGGTGGTTTTCTGTTCTTTTCATGCGAGTTGATCAGTTTGGGCTGATTTTTATTTTTTTATTTTTTGCTACAAACGTTTATTCGGTGCTTTTAAAATAATTTATACAAATAAACGCTGATCAAGCCACTTGAGGGAGATGGGGTCTTGCTCAGTTACTGACAGGCAGATTGCTCTGTTGGTGATATGCACCGCCCTAACCAAAAGATTGGGTGGACCAAGTGGCAGTTTTATTATTGACTCAAAAGCCCATAATTTTCAGAGAACTCCCAATTTCTGCCTGCCAACCAGATGAAGAGATTACGTCTTAGCAAAGCTTTAGGGAGACAGGATGTGGTACGTGTACCTAAAGCACAGCTAGCCTTCAACAATAGGGCCATTACTACAATTGTGTGTGGTTTTACACACCTACTGTTGGCTTAGAAAAAGAATTGATCCCAGATTAATAAACTGGCACATTTTCAACTAGATCATAAAGTTTACTTAGACGCAGGTTCCAGATTTTTAATATCTGCTTTTAAAGCAGTGTGTAACCCCTTGGTCCCCCATAGCATTCAACATTATGATATGGATACTCCTAGCTGTTTAGGATGGAGTAGCCATTGCTTACTCTTATGCTCCTAGTGCAGCACTGTACCTGTCCTGCTTTAGTACTGATTATTTAGAGCAGTGTTCTGTTAGAAGTGTGTCAGAGAGAGGTGTGGATATATGATGTGTATTCATGAACTGTCTTATCAGCCTAGCTTTAAATAGTGGGTTGGTTACTACAAACAACTAATCTTGTTTAGTATACCTTGGAATAGTTTCTGGCCTTAATAGGCCTGGATACGTTGCTGATTAAGGCAAAATCTCTACTTGCTTGGAACTGGTAATGTTTAGATTACCCCTGCTTCCTGCCCCCCCCCCCAAAGAACCAAGGCTATATTGGTTTTAAAGAGGGACGTTTTTCTGAACCCTCAGTTGCCCCATAGAAAGACTGGCTGGTTTTACTGGGGGAGGGGGGGGGAATGCCCAGCCTGGCTCACTTAGCTTTCCAGAGGAAAGGGTGTGGTTGGTAGTGTGTGCGGCTGTGGTTGATATTTCTTCCCAGAAAGAGCCAATTAAGAACTTAAAATAAATATTTAAAATCAGGGAATGATCATCTGATCTTTTTGGATGGCAGTTTTCATCATTGCCTCTTTTCGATGATGCTAGCTACAGCTGCAACCCAAAACCAGATGCATCGCATAACACAATTTGCCCACCTCTGACCTAGGTTTTTTCCTCAGCATGGGCTCTCTCAAAGTCAGCTGGCTTGCCTTTCTAATATTTTTTATTAATGTGAAAATGATTTTAGATCAACCTTAAAAGACCCTTAATGCAGCTTTCCTCAGCTGAATACCATCCAGCTCTTCTGGATTTTTAATGCAGCATGGCCAATACCAAGGTTGATAGGCATTTTAATCCAATACCTCTGGAAGGTACCAGAGGTGAGTGGGTAGAGAGATAACTAGCACCGGTAATTTCCACTCAGAAGAGCAAGCTCAGTGAGCCTGACCCCTAACCATGCCAAGTTGCTGCTATTCCACTCAGATCCACAGAACTGAGCCTTCAGGTTAAGTCCTTTGACTGCCTTTGCCCTTGGACAGAAACTTGCTTATTACAGCTGACCTAGGACTCCCTGGAGAAGACCTTAATGTTGGGAACGTGTGAAGGCAAGAGAAGGGGACGACGGAGGATGCGATGGTTGGACAGTGTCACTGAAGCAACCAACATGAATCTGACCCAGTGGAAGATAGGAGGGCCTGGCTTGCTCTGGTCCATGGGGTCACGAAGAGTCAGACACGACTAAACGACTAAAACCAATGAACGAAGGCAGCCAATTAGCTGATAAAAGCAAATGGGGAATGCAAGCAAGACACAAGCAAATGCGATCTCCACGCAGGTATAATATTGGCAGCAAATGTGTTAGTTGTTTAGATAAGGCCACACCAGGGAGAAGGCAGGGAAGGTCAGGAGGCAGAAGTTGAGATCTAGTTTTGCAGAATGGGTATGTATGCAGGAGTTGAACGAAGGCAGCCAATTTGCTGATAAAAGCAAATGGGGAATGCAAGCAAGACACAAGCAAATGCGATCTCCACGCACGTATAATATTGGCAGCAAATGTGTTAGTTGTTTAGATAAGGCCACACCAGGGAGAAGGCAGGGAAGGTCAGGAGGCAGAAGTTGAGATCTAGTTTTGCAGAATGGGTATGTATGCAGGAGTTGAACTGATGTTCAGTAAAGTGCCTGTCTGCTGAGTCAAGGCCAGGTGTTTGTGCCACCCCCCACGGTGCTTCCCAGGAGATGGGCCAGCTGAGGTGTGTGGCTGATGGGGTTAAATTTCTGGCCATGAGCAAGAAGAAAGAACTGCTAAATACTTCTAAGTATCCATACTTAGAAAACCCTAGGGTCACCATAAGTTGAAACAATAACTGTGGCCTATTATCAAACTGAATTGCCAATCTAGATGCAGCATATGACAGCCCTCCCCTCCCCCAGCATCTTTATCCTCCTAGAACAAGGACTTGTAATTGAAAACAATTGTAATGTAACAGACCAGGAATTAAAACACTGTAGAACAGTGGTCCCCAACCTTGGGCCTCCAGATGTTCTTTGACTACAACTCCCAGAAGCCTTCACCACCACCTCTGTTGGCCAGGATTTCTGGGAGTTGAAGTCCATGAACATCTGGAGGCCCAACGTTGGGGACCACTGCTGTAGAAAACACATGGCCAATAGACAGAGGGGAAAAAAGAGAACCATTTTATTGTGCTGAATAAAGTTGGTTCTACAGCAGCTGCAGAAGCAGAAATCCCTGTATTCTTCCATTTGGCCTTTATAGCAGAGACCGTGTTACAGATTTCCAAACAAAGGTTTCAGGAGCAGAAAACAATGTCTAAGAAATGGTGTTTGACTTCTAAGAGGCATTTGATATCCAAAGAATTAATTTCTTTTTAACCTCTGCACACCATATTTGCTTTTACATTCAGATCAGGAGCTATTTTAGTAGCCATCAGTTATGCAGCTTACATATCCTATCCACAGCTGCTCTGCTGCCATGGGCGTGGTGTCGGGAATGGGGGATGGGACTGCATTCTCAAACCATCTGAATAGGTAAGATCATATTGGCTTCTCTCCTTTCAGGATGCCCACAAAGGAACACACACAATGCAGTTAAGCAGTCTTGATAACGATTTGTAATTAAAGACATTTTCTTGCTACTGTATGAAGATAACGAGGATGGCTGGAGAGACACAGCAATGGTATTTGTTATTCTGATGTCAGCAAGACCCCGGCAAGGCAAAGGAGAAGGCTGACCTTGTGTTCTCCAAAGAGAGAAATACAGTAACAGATATGGTGATAAATGTAAAGTTCAGCTCTGCTGCCAAAGAAAGCTGCCATAAGTAATCTGATCGTGAAAGCAGTGCAATGTAATATGTGACACAAGCATTCATGGACTTCACAGACTTCTCCAGCATCCTTATAATTTACCTTTAACATCACAACTCTGTGTGTCTAATTCAGCTCAACAAGAGAAAAATGTTTGCACAAATGACTCAAGTATTATCCTGTGCCCTGTATTAACAGTGAAAATTACTGATTATCTGAGTAATTCTGATTTTGCCTATAATGGAAGAGGCTAATAAGCAAGACAGAGTCCCAGCAATCAGGAAATCCCATGAGCTTTTCTGACCACAAGGCATTGCCCACATGTCAACGCCTCTCTATGCAAGCATAAGGGCTAGAAACTTGCTTTTTAAAAAATTTGAATACTGAGATTCCTTTTCTATTTATCGGATAAATTTTGTGCCAAATACCAAATTCAAGGGGGGTTGTTTTCTTCTTTGCTTAGTCAGACCCATGGAATATCCACAGCACCAAATGAACAGCTGAAGGCAATGCTTCTACCAGTTTTAAGTAGTGAAATTATTATTATTGACGTCCTAAGAACAAATAATCCACTGGCCAGAGAAATGATGCTATTCTTTGGAGAAACTTCCAGTGCATCAACTCCTCTCTTTTATGGTTCAACCATGCCTTTGTTTCTGTGAGAACAGCTCTGCTCATGTGCTTTATGGTGAGTTTGGCAGAAGCCACTTTGCCACAGATGCTGCTGGCACAGATCTATTCACAACTCGTAGCTTTATATTCTGACAACCTTCTATGCTATGTAGATCCTAACATCTGTAGAAAATTATTTCATATTAGAACAGTGTCCTCTTAAATAAATCATTCTAGTACCATTCATGTATCTTTTTCTCTTCAAACTCAGCTCACCAAGGATTTCAGGTAACAGAAACCACACGTATCACAAAAAAGAAAAGACGTTGTAAGCATTCTGGATCCAAATTTCTTTTGGATAGTATGTTAGTTTTGTTGTAGAGATAATCCTGCCTTAGCTTTTAAACCATGTAGTAAGAAATGCTAGATTTTATTGGACTCTTTCTCTATATTCCTTCACAAGAAGGCTGGTACGTATTAACAGATACATATTTTGCAAAGGAACCAAGCTGATACCTATACAAACTCTGCATTTCAGCCTAGAACACATATTACAACCCTATTGAATGCATGAGGCTTCCATAGCAGACATAGTTTTTTTTAACTGATTTAACTGGCCACAATCTAGGAAGGACATCCTTTTCTTGAACAAGAACATTTCTCACTTCATAGCTGAGACGCAGCCCCGTCCTTTCATTTTCACAGCACAGCCTACTAAGCAATTGGTGTGTACATTCCCAAATGGCTGCCACAGCTAGGCGATCAGCATGGGGAGGAATAGCGACAAGAGATGCCTCTATTATCTTACACACCAATGCCCTTCAGTCACATGGAAAATAAAATGGCTGATGCCATGGCAACCACTCAGTGCCATGATGCTGCAACTCCAGGCCTTCTGCATGCCAACCCAGATTAGGATTTAAGAGGATGAAAATGGGGGTGGGGAAAATGCTGGAATCAGGACACAGCTGAGCTAAGGCAGAGAAAGATTATGTTACATTAATTACACTCAGCTAAAGGGTTTTATCCCACTCTGAGTGCCCTAGACTATCCTTAGCATCTAACTGCTACATGGGCACACAAGCCACCTGCCAGTTTCCAGTAAACTACATATACATGTGTATAAACACCACTGAAGTTAACACTCTTTCTCCATGACCATCCTGCTCCCCAACCCTAGTCATAAACAGAATAATTCACCTACAAGAATGGGGGGGGGCTGGTTCTTGTGGTGTGTACAATATGGGGCGGGGGCAAGGGGGAGAGAACAAAAAGCAGAGGAAACGACACAAGTGAAAGAGTGGCCCCGTCTGTAAGGAAATGAATTGTATTTTCCAGATCAGAGTAACTTTGCTGCCTTGATACCGAGTTCCCTCCATTACAGGCACATGTTCAGACTTGGGATGAGATGGCCATTTTGCAAGCCAAAAGAAACTCTTCTTTCTATAGAGACATTCTATTAGCTTTGGGTTATCTCAGATACATACCATCCATTATGCTCCTCTGGATTGCCGTCTTGGACAATCCCTTACTAAAAGAGTATCTTAACAGCTCAGTTTTGCACCTTTACTGCTGGGTGGAACTATGCACCATGGCAGACATAGGACCGCAGCCCAACTCAGCAGCAGTTCTTTCTCTGTTGGTCCTCCTCACCATTAATATCTAGAGATACTTAATATATAACATGGTGTCATGCCGTGAGTTTTCCATCCTTGTTCCACCTCACTGGCTGCTACTGATGGCAAGAGGGAAACCCACAGTATAACACTATTACGCCATATTCCTTTCATTTAGTTGCTTATTTATAGACCGTGACAAGAAAAACCCCAAGGGGCTTATGCTATCCTTGTAACATAGTCCACTTTTCTCAAAGACCATAAAAAAGTGGATACAGCAGTGAAAAGCATTAACGTAAGTGACCCAAGCCAGACACAAGTCAAACAAAAATTAAATGCACAGAAAACTCACCTCTTCTCTTCCCCTCACTTATTCACACAAGTAGCAGATCCAAAGCACTCCATTAACACATTCAGCATTCACATATAACACCCCTTTCCTGCTATCTACTATCTTCTACTGTTTCAGCCCAGTGATTCTGGCAACAGCACTTTTTCTCTGGGAAATTAGGTTCTGCCAAGGGAAGGCAGTCCTACATTGCAACATCCGTCCCTAGCGAATGGCTAATGGAAGTGGGAACCTTGACATCAAAGGTTTTCTCCAAATCAACAAAAAGAATACAATTTCAATCCTTAACTTAAATACAATGCAAAACAATAAAACAAAACAAAAACATAAAATAACTATAAACTATCAAAAGGAAAACAAAATCCTTTGCTGGGATGCAACAGCATTTATGACACACACTGATGATAAGCACCTATATCTGTCTTTTTACGACTGTATTACTTGGTCATCCTACATCAGAAGTCTTTACACCAAACCTTGTGCAGCTCAAATGCTCTTGATTTCATGATAAATACAGTCTTCAGACTTCATAATGATAAAACACTCTTTTAAAAAAACCCACACATACACACAAAACAAAACAGGCACCACTGTGAAACCACAGTTCATACAACTGAATATATGTGCAGAGGTTGCATATGGAAGAAGTGGAGAGATCCGAGTGTATTCGCTGCACTAGTTCCTGGACACATGTAAAGCTTCTGTTTGTACACCATATGCTGTCAAACTGGAACCAACCAATAGCAATCCTAACAGGGCATTTAAGTGACCTATTTAAGGAATGATGTTCCAGTTCCACACCTGCTGAGTTTCCATGGTAAAGCAGGAATTCGAACCCAAGACTCTTGAGTCCTAGCCTAGCGCTCTATTCACTATACCACAGTAGGTATGTACCACCCAGTGGCAGCTGAAGACTGAAACACCTTCCTTCAATTCACCGTCCCATTCACAGGTGAGATATTGGGAATGGCAAGCTCTAACAGATATTGAATGAATATGAGGTGCCAGCACAAGAATTATTCTACTCAGAAGCCTCGTACTACTCAGTATAACTTTTTGCTGAAAGGCAGCTTATCTCTCCTGGCCTTTCCAACTCCCTCTCAAGAATAGCCCTCTTTATATAATTCCTTAAGGAACAGCATGTGATGCCCTCTTTAGATAAAAAACACAAAAGTTTACATATCTGCTATACAAATCATTACTTTTAGTTCAATACAGTGGGATTTTTCTTTATTTTTTAAAATTCCCTTGCAAAAGATTGCTTTGTATGAAATATAACGTAAGATAAAAGTGATTATAATCTGGCGGAATGGCTTTGCACTTTAAAAAAATGGCAGAAGACACACAACTGGGAATTCAGTGGGTACGAATCTTGTTGGTTCTGCTCACAGATCAAATGGTGAACTGGATTATAGGCGAGCTTCTCCTAGATGCTTTGCTAGTCCCAGTTTGAGCACCTTCTGGGAGAACCACCTTGCAGGTAAAATGTAAGTGAGAAAAAGATGCCAGCTATAAACGTGCTGGATAAGAAGAATTAAAAATAGCAGCCATCACCAAACCAAAATATCTGTATCTTGGTTACAGAAGGAAAGAGATCTAACAGAACACACAGCACTGGAAGTGGGTGGGATGGGGTAGCCATTTTTCTGCACTGCCAATTTTCTAATATACCAACTTTTTACTGGTTCTTCTTCCAAAGAGTAATACTGTGAGTTTGTACTGGTACTGTATAACTACTGAAAGGCCCAAACATCCAATGGAAAAATGGTGTTTCCACTTGGAGAGAACTTAAAGCTTTTGTGCTTGTGGCCATTTGTTACCAAATCCTAGAGATCTGAGGACATGTAGTACCATACTTCCAAAACAAAAGGACAGTTTGAAGGCTAGAGACATTTTCCTTTGTACTTAAAAGCTGGATTCATTAGGGAGTCTACCCATAAGAGGTCCTCTGTTTCTCTTCATTTCTTTTTTTTAAAGCCATACACATATGACCCAGCTCCACGTTTATGATCAGTGTCTTTCCTTAAGAAAAAGGGAGTAAGTTCAATTCACCTGCTGATCCCATCCTAACAACCCTCTGCCATGTATTTGAGAATCTGGAACTCTCCATGCCTTCATGGGTGGGTTCTGTTGTGATTTCCACTCTGAAAATCAGCCATTCGCATAGAGCAGAAAACTGTAGTAGCATATCCAAGGCTTTCCAAGTTCTAACATTAGTGCAAAAAGAAAAAGGGTCCAATGTGTAATAGTAGCTTGCTGTTCTCCAAGAATCACTTTACATCAGGCAAGTGAGCTGCTGATTCAAGCAGTGGAAAGAGCATGGCAAAGAGAAACAAATAAAGGCTAATTGAAGCTATTCCTTTCCTGAAAGAGACAATTTCAAGCAAAAGTTATAATAATCAACTATGGTCTTGTCTTTTTCTGGGTGCCAGGGCCCATTGTGGTTTCAGTCCAAATGCATTTCACCACATTCTGATAAATCATCCAGGAGTTATCAGTTGGCTAACAGCAACACTAAAGTAGTAGTAGGAAGCTTCAAATGGGGTTGTGGACCACAGCTCCTCAACCTGTCCACATGCTCCTTGACCAATCTCCATACCAGCATCCATTAGACTACTCTCTGTCAATTGCAACCCTTTTTCCATAAGCAAAAAATGTAACTTCTCAAAAGTCCAACCCACCCACCCAAGAGTTGCTTATTTTTCACAGGAGTCTCTTCCCCAAGTCACATCACGTTGCCAGCTTTATTTGAGAACCAGGATGGGGTCTGTCCTGTCTTTTCTTATTAAGTTAAGTCCATGAGTGAGGTAGTACTCTCTCTGCAGGAAAGCGTAGAAATAATTTGAGATGAGCATGATCTGTAAGAAAAAAGACAAGCAAGAGTGATATCAGTTCTTTAGAGACAAAATGGCCACACTTCCCAGCCAAAAGAGATTGCTCCCTTATACAGTAGTACACATATGGTCACATTTCTACTTTAGGATCTAAGAATAACACAAGAGATGCCAGATCTGGCTCCATGATGGGTGCCAGGGCAGGAAAAAAAGAGGGCTATATGGTTCAAATTTTTGAAAGACTAGCTGCAGTCCAGCAAGCACTGAGCCCAATGATTTGCTTGACAATACATATCACAGCTGAGATGTGAGAATGAGGAAGGATGAACATAAATTCTTTAAAATACCTCTTCCCCAGAGCCGCTTTGTCAGTGTAAATCTTATTGAAACACAGCTCCCTCTTCTTAGGATGTCCCTGTTTCTCATAAGCAGCACAGCTCATCTCTATTGAAAGAAGAGCCAAGAACTCTCATATATTACCATATGACTTCACTGAACGTGGATCATTCCTCTGTAAGATCAGTGTTACATACTCCTGGTTTTCAGTCTATTAAGTTACAATATGGAAGTAAAGTGTGCCTTCATAATCTCTACAGAATATAGGAGGTGGGGGCAGAGTAGGGAGACCCAGGTGGGGCCACAATGACTGGAAAGAGGAATGGACATGGTGCTTGACCTGAGACCTAGAATTGACACTCTCCTTCTCCCGCTGCAAGTTATCCTTCATTTTTAGAGGCCTTTGTTTTGAAGCCAAGGGACTATTCCACAATCTGGTTCATCTACATGCTTCCTGAGGTACTTGTTTCTCAGGTGGTGAATAACTTCAGAAGCATCATCAACGCTCTTCATTTTCTTTTTTAACACTCAGTGACACATCACTATGTCATAATTCAAAATGTGCGAAATAGTGGGGCAGAGATAAAATGTAGATTTCATTTTATTAGGCTGCAGGGGTGAACATGGACCTTAAACTTATATGGTGATTATCTCTCCACCAGCTCCTATTCACTAACTTTGAACAAAAAGAAGCTACTGTGCACACCCAGCAAAGTAACCCTGAAGGCTTGGCACAAAATAGCACTCTGGAGGAAAACAGGCACTAAATGTCCATATTTATTTGTAAGCAGAATATAGGCACCTTATAGTTCTCCATCAGAGCAGCAAATGTTTTAATGGTTTCCAGTATGTTGCCTTTAAGCCCTTGGGCTTTACACTTGACCCAGTTCTTTCCATAAGTAATATGATAAACCTGCCACATGTGTCACTCTGAGTCAATGTGAAGGCAACTGAAGGCAACTGCCACCAAGTCACAGAAATACAAGTCATTTGGCCTGAATTTACTAGAACATCCATACGCTGGAATCTAAAGTGGTAATCACAAAAATTGTGTCCAAAGTCCTACTGGTATTCACCTAAGTTTGCATAGCTTACTGTAGCTAATTGCAGCTAAGGAAGAACCAGGGCATATCTGATCATGCATGTCTGACAACTGAGATACACCCCAGCACCTTAAAAACTAGTTGCAATTAGTCACAGCAAGTTACACAAAGTTCACACAAGTACCAACAGGATTCTAGCCAGTAAGAAAAAAAAGACACATTGCTTTAATGTTGTACATAAATGTAGATAGATGCAATGCAGTTGTGTTCCTTATGCCTTACAGAATACAATAAAAAAAACTTAAATGGTTGCAATAACTTCACTCTACCCCCTCCCGAAGAGGAAGTCGTCTTAAAACACTTTCTTCCAGTCAGTAGCATTTTATATTTCACTCATATAATTTCCCCTGACAACCACTTCTGTTATATTTGGAGATATTTTCTGCAGGGTTTTACTTATTACTGTATTGTATTTCAGCAATACAACTTGAACAACGCTTCATTTTAGGCAGCTACAGCTGCAACCCTGTTCTTAACTTACTTATGCATTATGTCCCATTCAACTGAGTTGCGCTTACTTATTTAGAACTTACTTCTAAATAAACATGTACAAAACTGTACCGTAATGCTTCACTGTCTTCTCATCCTTTTTCTTTAGTTTCCCATTTTGAAGTCACTGTTTTGCTCCTTCCACTAGTACTTCTAGATTTCCCCCTTCTCTTTCCTGTTCATTTTCTATACCTGTACCTGTTCTAAAACACCTGATGCAATGAAAAGAAATTTGAATGCGGAAAAATCCCAGTTTCAAAGAATTCTCAATCAATTATTATTCTGACTTGCAACAGTGAGAAGGTAGGAGACAAGCCACAGGACTATCAGCCGGCACTAGTCTTGTTGAAACTAGATGCTATTGAGTTTAGTGCTTTCAGAACAGACTGCACCAGAGAGAGGCCAGTTCCACCTTGTGAAATGTAAAGTGGTCTGGCTGGACATTGTATACCTCCTTCTTCCCTCTTCTGTCCCCTGTGCCTTTTGACCACGGTGTATTAGTCTGTAAGTAATTCTGACTGTCACACCTTACTGAATTTAAGAAACTGTCATAAAATGACAATCCTGCTCACATAGAAAGAGTCGGTCACCTCCTTTTATATATAGTATTATGTGTCCTAACTGTACATTTCCTCTCTAGACTTCAATGCAGAGCTACTGCATTAAGAACAAATACAAGATCATGGAACAGCAAGCTCTGCTTCAACTCCAGCTTTCATTTTTCATGCAGTCTTGGAAGCAAGCAGCAATAAAGAACTCTAAATAACCAGAAAGCTTCTCCTGCAGACAATGTGATACAACAGGTTTTCCACTCAAAAGCAACAAGCAATCAGAGGAGAAGGAAATATCTAGAAACTACCCACCCACTTGCACAAGGTAAGCAGCAAGCAGTGCTAAGTGACTGCTGCATTTACGAAAGGCATAGCTGCAGCTCCACTCATTCAGGAGTGGGAGCTGGACTCGATGGGCTTCTAGGCCCCTTCCAACTTTATTTTTCTGTGGTTCTATAATTAGCGCTTGGAAGGAACCGGCAACAAACAAACCATTATCTGCAATCAATTCTTCTTTTCAGTAATCAAGATTCTAAGTTACGTTACAAATGTATCATAATGCCAGATAACTAATTTTGCTGTGCAAATGATACGTTTTAAAAATATTACCTGTATAGTTAAAATTGGGTATGTGAGCTCATTAATTATCTTTTGTATGACAGACAAGCAACTTGCAATAATCTGATTTTTTAAAAAAAGGTAAGGAAGCAAAGTTATGTTATTTACTTTTTGATAACTGACAGCAAATGGTTACTTCTATGATGCTGTAACAGTAACTACATGGGTCTCGCTTCAAAACTTACTGTTAAAACAAAACTCTACATACTGATACTGTTACACAACAAGTGTAAATGCAGTGTTAGTACTTACTGTTAAAACAAAACTACATATTGATACTGTTACACAACAAGTGTAAATGCACCCTCATATACGTAAATGGTGCACCATTTAATGTATAATAAATAAATCAAGTCATTTAATGTATAATAAATAAATTACTTATTGTAACACCTGAACAAAGAAACTTTGGCTAATAATGGCTTCCAAACAAGCCAAAATTGTTTAGGTGTTACAATAAGCCATGGTTAAAATAAAAATAACAGAATGTAAGAAAGGGTATTAGGAAGAATGTTGCTCTAATAAGATCATTGGTCTAAGCAGGACTATATGTGTAGAACCTAAAAATCTACAACTAGTAAAGCTAAATTTCAGACAGCAGCACATGCATACATTGTCATTCTGTACAGCCAGGAAATCGGCCTGTCAAAGGGGAAACAAGTTCACGTACGTCCTTATATGTACACCACAAGACATGTTCAGTTGTTTCTATCTGCTCCATTCCACATGGGCAAAGGCCCAGGGGGTCTTTTTAGGTATATTTTTCAATAAGATATTGTAATATCAAGCACTGATCAATGGTAGATTGACCTTCCCTAAAGCCTGCCTATTCTTCTGCAAGTATCTTATCTCGATCCAGCCAATCTTTAAATTTCCCATATAAGTGTCTGGTATATAATTTACAGATTGGGCTAAGGAGACTAATAGGCCTGTAGTTTGCAGGATCATCTCTCTTTCCCTTCTTAAATATGGGGACTATGAGAGCAAAACCCCAGTTTTCCAGAATTCGGCCAGTGGTATCAATATACGTGAATAACGATGCTAGAACCGGAGTACAAAATTATGAATTGGTAGGTGGTCTGTAAGACTTTCTTAGCTAGTATGCATTCCTTATCAAACCATGGCTACTAAGTTGGGTGGTGCCATTGTTGGGTCACTTTTGCTTTGCCAGTAACAGACTGTTTCAGCTCGCAGATCAGGTCCTCATAAATTTCCACCGGGTTGCTGGTGTGCGTTATAGATGTCCTAATGCTTTACATGTTGTCAGATGGAAGTAAAGTCAGTAGATCCAGCTCCATCTTTGGGGTCCATTTAGCCCGACAGTGTATTCCCCCCTCAGGAAGTATCATGGATGGGCATTGATTTTCGCTTCTTAGATAAGAAAAAGGGGCTTTCATAATTAGTGAGACAGAGAGATGATCACTTTGGAATTTTGTGGCTACTTCCAGTAATGGAATTAAATTTGATGAGATGATTAAATTGTCTATTTGGCTCATTCTAGTTCCTGCCAGGTAGGTGAATTCAGCTGGGTAATCATTCCCATATGCACCATTTAGAACGTGCAGGTTAAGCCTGGTAGTCATTTGATGTAGGAAGAGCCCGGCATAATTTGCTTTCCTATCTTTAGATTGTCAATTAAATGGGAATGCATTTAGGCCAGATGTAGGAGGGCATGCTTTATGTTGAGAGTATAGGGCTTGTTCGTTAGGGCCCATACGAGCATTGAAGTCCCCTCCCAGAATCACGTATGTGTTGGGATAAGAATGAAGCAGCTCTGCTACATAGGCTTCAAATTCTGTCCATATTGCCAGAGTCTGTGATTTTTTCTTTTGATGGGGTAAATATATTTAAATAAATACATTTATTATCAGCAAATCCTAATGTTCGAAATGGGAAAGGATGGCCATTGTGTGTTGTTTGAAGGATGGCAGCAGCCTTGTGTTTACACACAGGGATGTGGCAGTCAACACTCCTAAACCTCCCTTGCATCTTCCACAACCTACCCCAAAGGTTGCACTGATGGAGTGTGAGTGAAAACCATTGATTGACATATTTTCCTGGACCCAAGTTTCTTGTATCAATACAATGTCCATAGAGGAAAGATACTCTCTTGATTCAGGGTCCTGGGAGTGTCCGATCCATCCATTTATATTCCATGACATGAGGGCAATTTTATTTGTATGCTGGTCTGGTACCCATCATTGCGCCTCTGCAATGACACTTCCTGTCTCCTGAGCATTCCCTTTCATCTGATTCAAAGTTAGTATGGGTTCTTGTATATCCTTCAATGCCCTTTTTCTCTTAGACACAGCAGAAAATGGAACCCTCTCCTCAATTATCTTGTTAAGAGTGGGGTCATCAGAGGGAACAATCAAGTTGAAATTTAAGCCACCTTTGGTTATTACTATAGTTGGCTTCAGAGGAGTGTGTTTTTTAATCTCCTCCAGTATATTTTCTGGAGACCTGTGAGTAGAAGGGGGACAGCTCTCTGCTCCTGTCTTATCAGGGAGGGCCAGCTGCAAATCCTTCAATGTAGCCACCAAACATTCCAGTTGGTTTATCATAAAAGCTTGGTCACCTATTGGTAAATTCCCAAAAGGTGGGAGAAGTTTAGTTTCTACGTCATCTTCTCACCAGTTAAAATCTGACTTAATCTTGTGTATAAAATAATTCTTATCCTGTTCATTTCCTATGGGATCACTATTGCCATATTGCTCTTCTATTGTTTCCCCCCTGAGATCTGCCTCCAGATTGATGAGATCTTCTTTAGGCAGCTCAATACCAAAAGCTGGCTTAATCCTTTCTATCATTCTATCCTCAGGACTTAACAAGGGCATGGAGTGTGTAGCTGTAGGGACCTTATGGCTTTTCCTTCTTTTATCCTTTTTATGAGGTCTGGATGCCTTTTCCTTCTTTCTAGGTTTAACCTCTACCAATTTAAATAAATTATTATAAATAATTATCTTACGAACTAATTGTTTCTCTTTCTTTATATTTTTGCTCTTTTTCATTTTCATTTCTCTATTTTTAGTTCCCTTCAGGTTTAATCTTTTCCCTTCTGTACATTGTTTAGTCATCCTGTTTTGGCTGATGTTCTTTGATGTGTTCTTTGCCTTCTTTCTAAGGACTTTTCGCTCTGAGATGCGGTTTGGGGAGTTTCAATGCCTAAGTTAGTTTGTTCATTGTTGTTTTTAGGCTGCTTGCCTAACTCAATTAGGGTTGTTAACAATTCATGGGATTCCCAGAGAAATAATTTTATTACCTTCATCGCATCTAAAATATCCCTTACTCATTGAAAAGGTGTACTATTATCTATCTTGTCTTTCTGCTCAGTTACTTTTGAGGGAGACTCTATGTCTGGCTGAAAATACCCTTGTTCTAATTCCTGTATCTGGACTATTATGAAGTCATCCAAATCCTTTCTACCCCCACTTGCTAATATCTTGTCCCGGGCCAAATTATTCTCTGCAGCAGCCAGCTCCGTTGTGAAATCACTTTCTGAGTTTCCCTGGCCTATTCCGTATATCCCACCTTTATAATCAATTGACCAGTCTAAATTGGGAATGTGGAAAGATCTAGTTCTATCATCATTGTTATCACCATTATTGTCCTTGTTATTAGTAATGCCACCCTCTCTAAGGGGGAAAAAATTAGTAATTTTTTCTTGCCTCTTACTTCTTTGTCCCAATGTAAAGTTGTGTATGGGAGAAATTCCCAGTTTCTTATACTCCTGTCTAGTGAATACCATTATTCAGAAATGAATTCAATCCAAATTGACGACACATTAATTGTCAATAGATCCAATAGACCCTTAATCCAAATTAAAGAGGATTTAAAAGTACCAAACTTTATTCTAGCAGAAAACAATCAAAAACAATAGAAGATAAAAAGTAAAGTAAGATATTTTAAATGCCTGATCAGAAAGGTTCTCATCAGCTCTAGGGAGAGTTTTAAATCCTCTAGTGAACTGTCACCCAATCTCAGTCTCTTTTTACAGTATTCCTTATCAGTTTTCTTAAATGGCCCCAACCCAGCTTGTAGAATATTCCAGAGAGACACCAGCCTCCCCAGTGTCCACGAACCAGCAGTTGCTCCCTCCTTTCCAGACACAAAATGTTCTGCTTTTCGTTAGGCTGAGTCTCGCAAAAACAATCTCAGTGCACTACAACCGCACAAGGTCCAGCAATCTGGAGAGACACCTCACCCTCTTTCTGCAAATCACACTTCCCAGCCTTTTTTTCCACAGATATAAAAGAAAGCTATGATCCTAAAGGACAGTGAATTCTGTATTTAGCACCAAATTTGGCATGTTTGAGTTTGCCCAACATCATAGACCACAAAGAGATCACCAGTTAGGTTACAAAGAACTTGAGAGAGTTACTGAACACTCACCCTGTCAAACAATTTTACTAACCTGTCCTACGTTGAATGTCAGTGTGATGGCATAATAAAAATTGGAGTTTGCACTTCCTGCATAAATCCAGAGATGCCATAAAACCGGGAAGAGCAGGGAGCAGACAATGAGCATACAGGAAATGATGAAGACATTGTGTAGGACTGCAACAAAAAGCAGAGGCCACATTAAAATGGGTTAACTGATATCCTAATGAATCCTTGGCTTAGTACCATATTAACTGCAATACAGTGACAGATACTAATTTAGAGGGTGGTTCCAGAGGCAGCTGCTATGGAAATCCCCTGCGTTAGAACCAATAATAAACTGCAATTCCTGTGGGGAATGAAACTTTTCCAGTTTTATTCACTGATGATTTCCCATTTTCATAGCTGCTTCTTCCTGGATTTCAGCAGGTACAAAATACAAAAGTACAAGTAATATCACTGGTTGACAAGGGTGGAAACAGGCTAATTTTGGACTCAAATTTTCCTGTTCACAATAATGAAACATTTTGTGCTAGTATTCTCTTTCCTTTTTAGGCATACTAGTCACATCCGTGCACATCTTCTGAAATAAAAACTATTTTTTCTTGGTGAGTCATTTTTATCCCCTTATTTATATCCAGTATTTATGTACTGCATTGCCTTTTAACAAAAAGGATTCCCAAGTTGATTCCGACAAAAAACAGCTCATGGGTTGGATTCAGACTCACTCATGCTTAAGAAGGCCCACTGACATCAAGAGCATGTTAATCATGACTAATTTAAGTTTCGTTGATTTTAATGTCACTTACCACAAAATATGCCAATGTCATCCAGTTAAGAAACTAAGGAATCATGTTAGGGGAAACTAATATAGGAAAACCGCATAAACACTAAATTGCCCTCTGGAAATTCTAGCATGAAGGGCAGCCCTAAAAGCACACTTTTGAAGAAAGACCAGAGAACACTAATGAATAAGCTAATGGCACTTTAAAATTTGCCTTAGTTGAGAATATGACTAGTTGAAAATGTTATGGTTGATGGTTGCTGTACCTGCTTCATTTAGACATGTTAAGAAATGAGAAGGAATTAGCTATCAGTGACATAAAATGGTTGGGTTCCCAATATTTTTACCAGTAATCCAGGTTCTTGCTATGCAGTCTTCACTCTTTCTGGTTTCATTTTCATGGCAAGAATTTCCTGTAGTATCCCCACACAATTCTGGACTCTCAAAAAACATCTATCAAGGAAGGAATACTTAAAGGAGAGAAAGAGGGAGGGGCCCTTGCAACAAAATGAAACTCAGCAAACTGCCTAGAATCTTTTACCAGGGAATTATGAAGTTCTGGATTGTAGAATTGTTAGCATGTATACATTACTGAAACAGCGACGTCTACGTTTCCTCGGGCATGTCATGAGAATGGCTGACGGTTGGATTCCAAAGATCTCCTGTATGGAGAATTAGTGCAGGGAAATCGCCCCACAGGGAGAGCATAGCAGCGATACAAGGATATCTGCAAGCGGGATCTGAAGGTCTTAGAAATAGACCTCAACAGATGGAAAACGTTGACATCTGAGCGTTCAGCCTGGAGGCAGGCGGTGCAGCATGGCATCTCCCAATTTGAAGAGGCCCTTGTCCAGCAGGCAGAGGCAAAGAGGCAGTCCCAAAACCAGCAAAATCCGGGAGCTGGACAGGGGACAGATTGTATTTGTCTTCAGCGTGGAAGGGATTGTCACTCTCAAATTGGCCTTCTCAACCACACTAGACACTGCTCCAAGACCTCTATTCAGAGCACGTTACCACAGTCCCTTGAGACTGAAGGATGCCTAGTGGGATTGTAGATGACTAGATTGTGACTGGCAGGGAGAAAAGAACCATCATGAGGAACTTACATTGAGAAAGGTGGTTCCAGAGTGGAAGGAAGGCCATGTAAAGAGCAATATCACCTACAGTCGGATAGGATTTGAAGATGGAAATGATAGCAAGTTGAACAAACATGAAGAACATGGGGTGTTCCCTAGAATAGAAAGAAACAAAATACTGAATTAACTGGATATTGCGAAAATGACACAGACTGCTGTTCTTTTAATTTGCATACCTTTTGAAAAACTGTAAGACTGAAAGTTCACAGGCTACATCAAAATAATCAAAACCTCTAAGATTAAAACTAAAACCTTTAGTCAAGAATTGTACCACATGACACAATGTTACATACTCTATGCGTGAATATTAAAAACTTAAGAGCCATGCTAGATGGACCTATATAGGCTGAATTTCTATTGCTTAGCATAGTTAAGTCACACTAGAATAGTCCACTGAACCACTGGGGATTTGATGAGTCAACACCTCTGTAAGTTCTGTTGATTCAAATGGGCCTGCTTTAGTAATGACTTATTATGCTAAGCAACAGAGTTTCAGCGACTGAATACAGCTGTCTAGATGCTATTCCCATTGTGGCCACCTTCATTCTTCACAGCAGAATTCTTTGCTTGTGGAAAGCCACTACATCAGGATGGAGTTTAGCCTGTTACATAATTTGTTTTTACCATGGGCAGCATATTGTGTTTTGTTTTGTTTTCTTTCAGGTAAGACCATTTTAAATACTACATTTCATCTTCTTCCTAGTATTCAGAAGTAGCACAGTCTCATCAGCTATCACATCCTTATTTGATGCCTGCCCTCCAGTCTGACACATTGCCTTTACTTAGGAAGCACAAGCTCAACTATCACAAGGAAGGACAGTAGCTAGCATGCTACACCCATACTATAGACAACCAGCACAGGTGGTGGAAGTGCATGTGTCCTTTGTTTGGCACACCAAAATATAGGTGACTCGCATCAAAAACTTTATAATGCATGTACAGTCTATGTCTATATTTCATCAACAAAGAGCTAAATACTTGAGGCAACTTAGATTACCATATCTCTGAATGCATGAAACACTGGCTTCTATGTGTGTTAAATATATTTTCTTATAGCTAGCAGAGCAGGTGGGGGAGATTTTCCAGAAGCATAATTGTAGATAAAGCAATGAAGAGTTATTATGGACTCTTAAGGCTATACGTTTATTGTGATATGAATGAAAAATAAGGAGTATGAATACTTAAAGAAATCTGAAGTATGCAAAACGATAGGGAGCAAACATCGATTACACGAGTTACTGCATTTTTCCGTGTATACGACCCCCCAATGCATAAGACAACTCCCTAATTTTGACCCTTTCCAGAGGTGGAGGAGCAGTTAATGGGCAACTTCTCCTCCATCTTTGTCTCCTGCTGCCTGCCCGATCACCTCCTCCATTGCGAATGCTGGGGCTCACCTCCAGCTCACTTCACCACCTTTTCCCCTGCCCAAAGGGAGCGCTGGAGGAAGTGATGCGATGGCAGCAGTCAATGGGCATCAGCAAGAGGTGCCCAAGTGCGCACGAGTGCTCCTTTGCCTCCACCCCCGCCTCCTGCTGCTGCCTCTGCCACCAGATGGGACAAGGCAGCGACGTGAGCTGGAGGTGAGCCCCACACTCGCACTGGAGGAGGCAATGGGCAACAGTGGCAGCAGCAAGAGGTGCCGAGCGCGCACAAGTACTCCTTTGCGTCCTTCTGTGTATAAAATGACCCTCAAATTTTCCCCTAATTATTTTAGGAAAAATGTCATTTTATATACAGAAAAATACGTGTATTTTTTAATTTAATTTCTAAAACTGTTTTCTAAAATATACAGATGCTTAAGTAAAGACTACTTCCTCAGATGCAAAGAGGCACAATGTTTCTTTATCTTTACCTTTATTATTATCATCACCACCACCATCATCAATCTGGCTAAAGAATTGAAATTAAGAATAAAGATGTAAAGTACTCTAAGGACCTAGTTAATTATTACTGCCTCCTTCAAGGTGATTTATTGGGACTGCTGCTTTTCAATTTTTTCTTAAATTATTTGGAATAAGCAGAAAGGTGATTAAAATGTATTGGTGATACTGTACCGAGTTATTTAGGGCAGCTAAAACAAGAAAGTGAAAAAGCAGATATCCAGAAGGAGCGTGCCAAACTTAAGAGTGGGAATCGAATTAGCAAATGCAACTTAGATGTAATGGGATTGCAAACTGTACAAAAAATTACTATCACATGTCTACCAATAGGGCTGGTTGGCAGTGACCGAGCAAGAAACTGATCCTGCAGCTCTGGCAGACAGGTCAACAAAAACGACAACTCAAGTAAGTGTGTGGCAGCTGGAAAAAGGCCAAATTCCACGTTGGGGCCATTAAAGAAGGAACTAAAAACACAACTGCCAATATTATAGTGTCTTTCTACAGATACAAGTGCAGCCATACTTGTAACACCGTAGCAATCAAAGAGAAACAAAAGGTCAGGTTACATCCCACTTCATATACTGTACAAAGATACCCATGCACCTGGACTATGAAACTCAGTAAGCAACTCTGAGTAAGTTACTACTCTGCCATTCCTTTCTCCACACTGGGGACACAGTCTTCAGTTCTCTTCTCCATATCTAAAGACTGTGCACTAGAAAAAAGGGCAAAAACACACACCCATTTTCTTTCTGATCTGAAACCTGAAACAATGACACTTTACCACCAGCTGATATAATAATATTTATTTATTTAAAATATTTTTACCCCCACCTTTCCCCTTAAGAGGACTCAAGGCGGCTTACAATACTGCACTCTCCTGTGGTCTTTTCAACTAATCACAGTGCATTTGGTGTATAGGTTAACAAAAGTGGGAAGTGTGTGGCCCACTGGAGGAAAAACAAATTCCATTTTTGTGGTCATTAGAAAAGGAACTGAAAATATTATAACATCTTGATGCAGATCTACAGTGTAGACGTAGTTACAATGCAGAAGCTATGAGCTGGTTGCTACACTTGTTTGAAGGACAGTAATTTGTCCAACGTTTTGTTCTGAGCTTCATTGCTTAGGTTTATGGGTATCCTTTTGGAGAAAACAGGATGAAACCTGCCTGACATGTGACAGAGCAAAGATGCTTGGTAACTGAATAGCACCCATATCAGCTTTCTACACAGTTTTACATGAGGCTGGGCTGATAGCATATCTTATAGTCATAAATGAAGAGTGGGAGAGAGGTCAGAGTCAGAATTAAATGAGTGAAATATCTTGGCAAGTGCAAGCTGTCACAGTCTTTGGGAGCTGCAAACATGGAATGAAAGAGACCTCAAATACTATCTTTGAGCTGAAAGATACTACAGTGTTGTCAGTGCACTGCAGTCACAGGAGAGGACATTATGAATCCCTGCCATACTATTCTTAGCTTTTCAAGCAAACAGAATGGACAGGCTGTGGCCAGGCTCCAGCTAGGATGACAGACAAAATGGCTCTACAAATATTTTAATTTCGTAGCTCAGTAGGGGAGAAGGAAAAAAAGGACGGAAGCATCCAGGCTTACATGTAATGAAGAAAAACTGGCTAGGCCTTGCAGGATGAGACCAAAAGCAAGTCATCCTTCAGGTCTTCAGGGAGTGAGGCGTTAAAGTGAGAAGAGTTGTTCAAAACATTGTTCAGTTCCTATCACCAAGGTGGACACTCTATAGCCAAAGCGCTGCTGCCTGGAATTATGTAGCCTTGCCTTGAACTACCAAGGAAGAAGATTCTACAGAGTGTCTAAACTGCTTTTCCATGTGAAGCTGTTTTCTCTCTTAGAGTATGCCACCAACTTCTGCTTTTCATGTTTAACTTGAAGCCTCTCTCTTAGCTAGTCTTAGCTAGCCAGTTGTCCTTGTACTGACATCCTAAAGTACAAAGCATTACATACAATAAGTAACTAACCCTTCATTATAGCATTTCCTTTTAGAGACAGGAAGAAGAAAAGAAAAAGAGAGGAGAGAAAGAATGCAATACACAAACAGCACTAATCAAATGCCCTGAATGATCCTGAGAAGTGAAAACTGTAACTAAAACTCAGGAACACTGACAACGTCTTCTATCACCTACATGAAATGATAGCTTTCTTAAAGTTACTCTGATTTATTGATGCATTCAAGAAATTCACAAATGTTGAAGTACACTGGTGCCTCGCATAGCGATCGCTCCGTTGAGCGATGAAATCGCTTTGCAATGGACTTTTGGCCATCGCTGGAGTGATCGCTTAGCGATGGCCCCTATGGCTAAAATTTGCTTTGCGATGATCGCGGGGAAGCGATCATAGCAAAGCAAACGTTTTAAAACAGCTGATCGGCAGTTCCAAAATGGCCACCGCAAAAACAAAATGGCCACCGCTGTTTTGCCTCTCTTGAGAGGCACCCAAAATAGCCGCCGCTATGGAGGAATTTCACTTTAAGGTAAGTTTTTAGCCCATAGGAATGTATTAAATGCGTTTTAATACTTTCCTATGGGCTTTTTCATACCGCTTAGCAATGAAATCACTTAGCGATTTTTTTTTTCTGAACGGATTAACATCGCTAAGTGAGGCACGACTGTATTAGAGAGAATCTACAATTCATGAAAGCATCAGAGGCTAATGACTCAAGTGTCTGCTCTGGTGCAGAGAACTCACACCTTCCTATTGAAAAGTATCCAATGAACTCAACAAAAGATTGGGGTGAAACACCATGGAATTCCCAGATCACACAGACATAGACTGGAAACTCTTAAATGTTGTACATTTGCAAGAATACTGGTAATAATTTTTTTCCTCACCTGGTTATCACTGTGTTAGTCCCAAACCTGTAATAATCATGTTACGCTTCTTCAAGTGTAACAGGAGAGAAGGAGGAAAGCAAAAAAGAAGAGGGCCCCTGTGGCTGCTGCAGAAGGTTGAGGAAAACCTGTTAAAACTATCAAAGGACTGAAAACCCTAACAAGACATATACTCAACAATTACAATATATTCATCCTTTGGATAAAATAAGCAAACACACATTCTGAAGCAGCAGGGAATTGTGGCAAAAGATGAAACATTCTTGTTGAAGTTTCTATTTTTGTTTGAACGGCTACATTGAGTACAACAAAACAAAAAAACCACCCATCACACAAAGCATTACAATTTGAAAGGCAATAAAAATATGCCTTCTCTCATAATTAGGACACAGGTCATGACCTCTTCTCTCTCTTTCTGTTGGAAGAAGGGGTCTGAGATGAGTAAGGAAAGACTACTTCCTAAACATTCTGCAGCAGCACGCCAATCAAAACACCTCCCTTTCCCAGTTAACTGGAAGCAGCAGAAAAAGTTGACAGAACACAGGAATAAAAATGTGTGTGGGAAAACAAAAAACTGCAGCATGCTACTCTTACAAGGAGACAGCAAAAACTAAATATGGGAAGAACTTCTCTTACTTACTGGCCCTGCTCTTGAACATCTAAATCAATGCCTCAGCTCAATGAAAACCACTACAATCCGTTAACTGGAAGCACCAGGAAAACATATAGAATATACAGCTCTGCTGTTCTTTCTATTCTTATTTGATTATCCTGTGATCCATCTCTCCAAACTCCAAGTGAAGTATATTAAAACTGTGTAGAAATCATGGTTCTTCACATGGAGTTGGCCTTTGTACTCAATCCAAACTTACTGTGCCACGGAAGAAACACTTTGGCAGTACAACCTGACACCCATTGTGACAGCCATCCAGTCATAGGTTTGCTTAAAGTGTTACAATTTTAAAGTTAGAAGGACTGTAAAAATTACACTGCAGACAGGAAGAAGAGCTGCTGTTTTTTTAATGATACTAAACAAAGTATCTCCCAATTTTGTATGACAAATGTAAAAAGCCATGTTTACAAAGGTTGTATTGTTTTCAACTATTATCTTTAGCTCTTCCACAGTTTAAACTTTTGCTATGGCAGAGCAGGTACCTATAAAAATAAAGACTGGGAAGTGCATAATGAAGTTTTAAACTCAGAACATGAACCTGTAGTGCTCAATTTAATGATTTTTATTTTATTGATTTGCTAGCCTTAACAAAGTTATTTTATTGTTCTGTACTAAATCATTTTATTCTTTTTCTTTGCCTGTTACATACTGTCATTCACTCTTCTCTTTTCCACTGTGATAACCAAAAGTTCCAGCAAATTGATCAAAACTGGATTGTATTTTAATTGTATTTTAATCATTTTATCTTTTATCGGAAGTGGCATAATGAAGTTTTAAACTCAGAATATGAACCTGTAGTGCTCAATTTAATAATGATTTTTATTTTATTGATTTGCTAGCCTTAACAAAGTTATTTTATTGTTCTGTACTAAATCATTTTATTCTTTTTCTTTGCCTGTTACATACTGTCATTCACTCTTCTCTTTTCCACTGTGATAACCAAAAGTTCCAGCAAATTGATCAAAACTGGATTGCATTTTAATTGTATTTTAATCATTTTATCTTTTATTGTATTGAACTTTAATTGTTGTGAGCCGCCCAGAGACCTCTGGGTAGATTGGGTGGCATAGAAATTAAATAAATAAATAAATAAATAAATAAATAAATAAATAAATAAATAAATAAATAAATAAATAATAAACTGCACTGAACTAATGCTCACTGCCAGCAGAACCAGATTCCGAGAAGTAGAGAAAAATTAAGAAAGAGAATGCTTACTTCAGTTTAATTGACAAGGGAATGGTGTAGAAAAAAACGTTGATCTGAAAGACGCACACAAAAAAGAGGCTGAAGTGCTCAAACAGTTCAGCGAAGAAATACCAGAAGAGGCCAACATTGGGTGTCAACTGAACTAATGCTCACTGCCAGCAGAACCAGATTCCGAGAAGTAGAGAAAAATTAAGAAAGAGAATGCTTACTTCAGTTTAATTGACAAGGGAATGGTGTAGAAAAAAACGTTGATCTGAAAGACGCACACAAAAAAGAGGCTGAAGTGCTCAAACAGTTCAGCGAAGAAATACCAGAAGAGGCCAACATTGGGTGTCAAGTCTGGAACGGAGAGGCTGAAATTGATAGAGCAATATCACAGTTATTGAATTATTATATGAATTATGTGTATGCCCAACAAGTGTACTGTAACATAAGAGTCACAAACAATTGCTACAGAACACAGCGTAAAAATTATGTTATACAAATACTTAAAGGTTAAATGGATTTTATCAAGGTATTCTAACTTGCTTGCAGCTGCATTTCATTTAATTAGTTCCACCTTTACATTTTGCATTTCTAACACTTGGAAACTATGGGGCTTCTTGCAGCATACCATACATTCAAAATATTTTTAGAAGTAGGTGAAAGGATCCTGAACATAATTACACCAAAAATTAGAAATGGTATTTATACAAAATGACAAATATAAAACTAAGGTTCAAAGAGCAGGTACAAGGATTTGAATTTTAAGTGTATCTTAAAGTTATGTATTGCAGGTAGCAGCAATATTCCAAAAGATGGAAGGAGCATGGACCTGTTTCTTTTAAAATCTGGTACAAATCTTTAAGCTTGCTCAAAAAGACAAATGGTTCACTCTAATTCCAAGTAACTACCTGAAGCGGGAACCCAACTGAATCCTGTGGCAAATCTATCTTTTCATTTGAAAAGCTACCAAGGTGGTTTCATGTCTTTCATGTGCAATATATTACTTTAGTACTCAATCCACAATACCTCGAATTATACAAAAGGCACTACTTCATATCTAAATATCACAGAATAAAACTGATTTAAAATGTTAATACAGCTGCAGATAATTAGCACACAAAACTATATAAGCTTCTACTTATCTAGATTCTAGATAATTTAAACATCATCCAAACTATTCATTCAGGAAACTACAGCAGTGAATCACTTGTAATTAAGAAGACACTGAACACAGCCAGGTATCAGTTTATAACAAAGGACCTGAATTGATATTTTCATTGCTCTTCACTTTTGTCTCATAATCAAATAATTGGGACAAGGGTTTTCAAAGCAGGTGTATGCAGTGGACTGAAGTTCTACTTACATGAAGCCATAAACAGATGGGATGAAGTCCCACGAGTTGAGAAGGAAGAATGAGAGACAAATGATCACGATCAGACTCCCCAAATATAGCCCAGCATATTGCACAGTATAAAACCAGAAGTCTTTGTTTTTTATTTTCACTGGTATGAACTGACGCTGGAGGGAAAACATAACAGTTTAAAGACAATAATATGCCATTTGCATTGGCAAACAAAAATCAAAAATCTTCAGTTTTATGATCTAAGAACGTTATTTCTAATATTGCTAAGAGAAGAAAAGAATGCAATATTAATTGAACCAGGAAAATAACACTCAGAAACATACTGAAAAGCTGTGGCACAACTGCTGAGAGAGAGACAGAACTATGAATCAGAAAGCTGCTAGTTCAGATCTCACTTCTGACTTGAAAGAGCTGTTCTCTTTGATCCTCAGTCTCTTATATGCAATACATGAGTAACAATGCTGACCTAACTTACAGGGATGACTACATAATGTATCTGAAGTAAAAATCAAGTATTTACTTATAAGTTTGACTAGTGGCCCTGTAATTTTCTAGCCAGAGTGTCTGAAAATGTTGCACATTTCAACTTCAAATTTAATGAAAGCATTTTATCAAATATCTAAACATCTTAGAGGAAGACAAACAACAAAAACTCAGCAAATGCTACTAAAAATGATTAAGAGTTATGGCAACAGCAGGTCTTGGACAATTTTCAGTCAAAGGTCTACAGGCAGATCTAAGTGTGAGAGTCCAAAACCTGAACTTAATCATGAGACACACTGCCCAGGTTTCAGCGGTGGCCAGAAATGCCTTTGCATTAAATCTAGTGTGCCAGCTGTGCCCATTCCTTGAGAGGTCTGATCTGGTAATGGTGACACATGCTTTAGTTAAATCTCGGTTGGATTACTGTAATGTGCTCTACATGGGGCTGCCTTTGGAAGGTGTTCAATAACTCCAGAGGGTCCAAAATGATGCAGCCATATTGTTAAGTGGGGCTGATTACGGGGTTCACATAACCCCCCTGTTACAGTAGTGTTAAGTGGGGCTGATTACAGGGTTCACATAACCCCCCTGTTACAGTAGCTCTACTGGCTGCCAATCCATTTCCAAGCTAAATTCAAAGTGCTGGTTTTAACCTATAAAGTCCCAATGTCTTGGCTCCAAATTATCTAAAATACTTTATCTCCCTTACCTGAGTATTAAGATGATCAAGAGAGGCCTTTCTCTCAGTTCCCACCACGTTCACAGGCATGTTTGGTGCAGACATGGGAGAGAGCCTTCTCTTATCACTGTATCTCCCTTACCTGAGTATTAAGATAATCAAGAGAGGCCTTTCTCTCAGTCTCACCACCTTCACAGGCATGTTTGGTGGAGACATGGGAGAGAGCCTTCTCTTATCACTGCTCCCAGACTCTGGAACTCCCTCCCACAGGAGGCCAGACTTGCCTCATCTTTGCCACCCTTCCACAAGCAGACAAAGATCTATGTCTTTAAGCATGTTTTCCCTAAATGACCGGCTGACCAATGTTTTACATTTTTTTTAATATTGCTCTTATTTTGAGTGTTAGTATGATATCCATTTAATGTATTTTTCAATATTGTAATAATTTCTCATTTAGCTTTTAGCTTTTTTTATTTTAATACTCTAAGTCGCTTTGAATTGTTCAAGAATACATCACCTTGGATTGTTTAGGAGAAAGATGGTAAGTAAATACATACATACATACATACATACATACATACATACATACATACATACATACATACATACATACATACACACACACACACACACACAGACAGACAGACAGACAGACAGACAGACAGACAGACAGACAGATATATAAGCAAGCAAGCTACAGGCATAAAGCATTTGACACTGAAAAATTGTACAGGGTTGCTGGTAGCAGATTTCACAGAAGAAGAACAGAGCGTGAATGTGCCATGACAAGAACCTAGGAACAGGACAAGCTGTGGGCACGAACAAAATCAAAAGATGAGTCAATCAGGGCAATCAGTGAATGGAAAAAGGCCAGAACTTAACAGCAACTCTTGGGCATTAACAGCTGGTGCATTTTAAAAACCCCGCTAAATGGTTTATTCACATACAGACAAGAGAGCCAATCCATGGCTAAAATCCAGCAGTAAAACACAACAAGAATAAGTCGAATTAGTGGACATTTAGTGAATTAATAACAGTACAGTATAAGTTCCACTGATTCAATAGGCCTACTCTAGTTGCAACTAACTACTGAATTTTACCCAATATATGCATTGTTGTGTCCCAGTGTCTACTGGTGGCAGCAAATTCCACTTTCTCTTTGTGCTTAAGCAGGATTCTATTCCTGAGGTGTCTGTGACCTCAGCTCACCACCAGGTTAGAGTAAGGAAGAGAATGGCTGATTTGCCAAGCTAAAGAATAAATAAACTAATGGATTTACATGAGATGGACACAAAGAAATAAACAGAAGTGCTAGTACACAGATGTAAAACTATGCAAATGTGCTCAAGTCTCACCTTTTTAGTAAGAGTTTACTAAACATTAATACATGTGATACACTATCCACAAAACCAAATTCATCACAATGAATTTGATCTCTGTTAATACAAGAACATTTTAGTAATTTGAATTTAATAATTCAGCAAGATTCATTTAGAAAATCATGCAGTTTAAAGTCAAAAGAAACTTTTCCAAGTAAATTATGGTAAGCCTCTGCAGTTAGACGGCAAAAAGCTCTTAATATTCTTGAAATTCCAATTATTAGCTCAAAAATAGTTCATATCATTTCACAGAACAAACACTGTGCTAATCATATAGATGGTGTGCTTAATAAAAGCCAAAAAGCACAGCTGGAGAGAAACAGATAAAGTAGCAGCTCCCCAAACCTAAATGTAGGAGCTTTGCATAGATTTCATAAGCAGTTTTAACTACTGCCAAGCCATGATTACAATTTTTAAAAACAACACTGACATTCCAAAAATATTCTACAAGCAGAGCTTGATTCTATCAATGCTCACAACTCAGCAAATCAGTGACCGGGGAATAATGCTCAGGACTGCTATCTCAAATCCACAGTCAGTTCGTGTATTTTCAAGAAAAATGAAATCTTTACTGGGAATTTTAATTTTGATAAAAGTACCATTCTGTATGGAGTATTTGAGCTGGCTACATAGCTCAATGGTTTCAATAGGTAAAGGTAAAGGTTCCCCTTGACATTTAGTCCAGTCGTGTCCACCTCTAGGGCACGGTGCTCATCCCCGTTTCCAAGCCACAGAGCCAGCATTTGTCCAAAGACACCTTCCGTTGTCACGTGGCCAGCGAGACTAGACATAGAACGCTGTTACCTTCCCATCGTGGTGGTACCTATGTATCTACAGTGGTGCCCCGCATAGCGATGATAATCCGTTCCGGATAAATCATCGCTATCCGGAATCGTCGCTATACGGGGCAAAAAACCCTACAGGAACGTTCTGAAACCCCTTCAATGTGTTCCTATGGGGGATAAACTCACCACTATGTGGAAATCCTCCATACGACCGCCATTTTCGCCGACTCGGTAAGCGAGGAAATCGCGCGAAAACACTGTGGCGGCCATTTTTCTTCCAGCAGCCATTTTGGAACCGCCGATCAGCTGTTGGGGAAACATCGCAATGCGAAAATCGGTAAGCAAAACACTTACCGATCATCGCAATGCGATGTTTACCCATTAAAAACATCGCAATGTGATCGCTTTTGTGATCGCAAAATCCGCATTGCTAGGCGGATTCGCCGTTAAACAGGGCGCTCGTTATGCGACGCACCACTGTACTCACATTTTTCCATGCTTTTGAACTGCTAGGTTGGCAGGAGCTGGGACAAGCGACGGGAGCTCACTCCATTGCGTGGATTCGATCTTATGACTACTGGTCTTCCAACCTTGCAGCACAGAGGCTTCTGCGGTTTAATCCGCAGCGCCACCACGTCCCTCAGTGGTTTCACTACCTGGCTGCAAAGCCAGAAGTTTGGTGTTTAATTCCCCACTGAGTCTCCTAAAGGAACAGTCAGCCTGTATAGACTTGGGCAAACTGCACAGGGAACGGTAAAACACTTCTGTGTATTCTCCACCTAGAAACCCCCAGCCTGTATAGACTTGGGCAAACAGCACAGGCAACGGTAAACCACTTCTGTGTATTCTCCACCTAGAAACCCCTGGAAATAGTCACCGTAAGTCAGACTTAACTTGACAGTATGCAATTATTATTATATGGAACATCTGAAAACAGGCAACAGAAACCACTGGGATAAAAAGAAGTATAAAGGACAAAAAAATGCAACAGATATTTACATTTGAATAGCAGAAGCCAGAGACAATAAGTATAAAGGAGAAAAAAAATGCAACAGACATTTACATTTGAATAGCAGAAGCCAGAGACTGGCCAGAAAACCCTGGCAATCAAAGCCTGGAAGTTTTCACATGACAATAAAAAAAATTCCTTGGAGAATGTGTTCCAATATCCAGTGAAGAGACCAGACATCAATGTGAAGAGGCAATATACTCATCAATGTTTAACTTTTTTAGCATCACTAATTTGTTTCCATTAACACCTGAGTAAATACAAACATGTTGAAATCCATATGGATGAAACTTGCCCTGATATTAATGGGCCAAATAGATCTAACAAAGAAAATCAGTGATTTGCTCTTTCAGTGTTCATTCTGGCTTCAATCAACCAAAGGAGGGACATTCCTCTGCTCAGATTAGTGACACTGTACTCTTTTCACCATCAAAAGTACCTGTGATTAGAGATGGGCAAGAAGTAGTTCATACAGCTTCGTACCAAGCTGTAAGCACAGCACCACAGGTGCTGTACCGGCCCATTTCCCACCCAACCCCTAACCAGCCAGGCCACTCACCAGATGTCATGCGCAGCCAGGGTCCTTTTCCTCCAGCAGCCCTCCAATCCAAGCAGGAGCCCAAATGGCCCTTCCCTGCCTCCTCATGCAGCCAACCACTCATCAGCTACACAAGGAAAATCCCTATTCAGCCTCCTCATTTTTTCATCCTTCCTCCAAAGAACTCAAGATAGCATATGAGTTCTTCCTCTTTCTTTATTTTGTCCACCAAAATCAAGAAGCCTTAAAAATAATTTTCTACTACATGGTTTGTGTATTTGTGTAAATTTATAATAAATTTATTTTATTTATTTTATTAGATTTATACCCCGCCCATCTAGACGAATGGTAAATATATTTTAGCAAGAGATTCAGTATTAAATTCTCAAAAAACAGACCTGGCAGAGTAACAATAGAACATGGCAATTTTTTTACAGGATTAACAAATTGCTGCCCTGTTCATAATATTAATCTCTGAAACTTGGAAATACACCTTCTGGCCTCCAAGAAACTAATTTACTCTGCTTTACAGGGTTATGTGATGCATGAATAATTAAAGGCTCCATCAGCATTTAACTTCCTGATGGACTGAGATCAACATTCAGAAAAGGAGAAAGCAGATGCTCTCAATTACCATTTGCCTTTTTCTATGAAGAAAAAAGCAAAATAGACTTTCTGCCAAGCTACATTCTTTCTCTGAGCTTAAATGATTCAGGTGAAAAAGCTATCATCACAGCTCCCTTCACTCAAGCTGTATCAGCACAGGCAATCTATTGTTTCACAATTTCCTCTGTGATATTGTCCACAAAAGGAAAGTGCTTATTTTCTAATTCTAGGACCTGCACAACAGCAAATTTTGCAACCTGTTAACTGGCCCCGGGACTGCAGCATTTATTTATTTAAAATATTTCATGTCATGTTTCTCCTAAAGGATCAAAGGCAGCTTACAGTACTAAAAGAAACAAAGCTAACGATAAACAACTACAATACTAAAAAAAAGCATTGATTTCATATTAAAATTCATAATAAGAGCAATATTAAAAGTTCATTTTTAAAAAAACACAGAATAAAATAATCCCTTTAAAAATCCCCTTTGTCAATCAGTCTTTTAAAGCAAAGCCTGCCTGAAGAGAAAGGTCTTCATCGGCTAGCAGAAGGATAGCAAAAATGGGGCCAAGCCTGGTATCCCATGGGAGGGAGTTCCAGAGTCTGAAAGTAGTATAGTGTGTGCAATGTAGTATAATGTCTCTCACTAACTCACTGGAGCTCTGTTAATAATAAAATTAATAGAGAATTTTGTCCATCTTAGCCTATTGTGTACTCAGACAGATGGTGAAAATTAGACATGGGATATTCATATTTGTATTCTGAGGGATACAAATACGAATATCAGCATCACAGGTCCCAGCAAAAATTGAACCCTCCCCCCCAGAACTCACTGGTCCACTTACTATTCTCTGTGCGACGTGCGCAGCCGTTGTCACTCACACTGTGCCAATCACAGAAGTAGCCTGGTTGGCGCTTCCCCGCCTCTTGTATTTGTATTCTGAGGGATACAAATACAAATATCAGCATCACAGGTCCCAGCAAAAATTGAACCCTCCCCCCTAGAACTCACTGGTCCACTTACCATTCTCTGTGTGACGTGCGCAGCCGTTGTCACTCACACTGTGCCAATCACAGAAGTAGCCTGGCTGGCGCTTCCCCGCCTCTCCATCCATCCAACTCAGCTGTAGAATGGAGAGACTCATCATCCTGCCTCTTCGCCAGAATGGCGGCCTGTGTGGAGAGCTGGGGAAGTGCCAGCTGGGCTACTTCCGCAATTGTCACTATGTGAATTAAAATGGGCGCATGAAGCATGGAGAGCAGTAAGTGGACCGGAGATTTCTGGGGAGAAGGTTCAGTCTGTGGTGCCGATATTTTATTCATGTCCCTAGGGACACAAATACGAATATCCCATGTCCAGTGAAAATCATGAGCAATTCATAAAGCATCGCAATTGTAAAGAGAACACAGGATACCTGTATCTTCTCTTAAGCTCTGCTTCATTCCTCAAACCATATTCTCCATTTCATTCCAACCTTATCTGGATGGCAAGAATACTGAAGTAATCTCACTTGTTTAGGTTAAAATTTGCTAAATAAAAAAGCTGATTTGCCAGACCCTTCTGTTTGTATAGGTTTTTCCTATCCACAAGTTTCATGGCACATGGCAGAAGCGTGAAGAGAGACTGTTTCTGAGGAAAAATATATGTACCGTATATACTTGAGTATAAGCTGACCCAAATATAAGCCGAGGCACCCAATTTTACCACAAAAAACTGGAAAAACCTTGATTTGCCAGACTCTTCTGTTTGTATAAGTTTTTCCTATCCACAAGTTTCGTGGCACATGGCAGAAGTGTGAAGAGAGACTGTTTCTGAGGAAAAAATATATGTAACGTATATACTTGAGTATAAGCCGACCCGAATATAAGCCGAGGCACTGAATTTTACCACAAAAAACTGGGAAAACGTATTGACTCGAGTATAAGCTGAGGGTGGAAAATGCAGCAGCTACTGGTAAATTTCAAAAATAAAAACAGATACCAATAAAATAACATTGAGGCATCAGTAGGTTGGATGTTTTTGAAGATGCTGCCCTTCTGAGCTGCAAGACACACTTCACTGCCTGCGGAGGGAGGACTCATACCAGATGCTGCTCTTATCTACTGCTCTACTGCTGCGTAATAAGATGGAGCAGAGGATGGAGGAGGAAGGGGGGAGGAGGAAGGTGGGTACATAGAATATGCAAAAGGAGGCGGATGGGAGTGTCCTGGAAATGGAAATGCAGTTGTACTTAACCTGGGTCATCGGACCAACCACAGAGGCTGCAGGCACCCTTAGATGAGTGGGGGAGTCCGGAGAACACCCGCACTGCAGGGGAGAACATATAATTTTACACTGACTCAAGCATAAACCAAGGGGTGCTTTTTCAGAAAAAAAAGTGCTGAAAAACTAGGCTTATACTCAAGTATATACAATATGCATTTAAAATGTTTTTACACCACTTTTCTCTTTAAAAGGATCCAAGATGGCTTACACCTTTAGAAGACAGTGTATAAAGCTAACAATGGGGAGTATAAAATATTAAAAAGGTGTTTATCATTAAAAAAAACCAGCACTTTGAATTGTGCCCAGAAATGGATCAGCAGCCAGCAGAGCTGCTATACCAGGGGAATTATATGTTCCCTGTAACCAACCTCAGTTAACAATCTGGCTTTGGGATTTTGGATCCACTGGAGTTTCCGAACACTTTCCAAAGGCAGCCTCACACAGAGCGCATTACAGTAATCCAGCCGAGATGTAACTAAGGCATGTGTCACCATGGCCAGATCAGACCTCTCAAGGAACTGCCAATCCATGTTTGCTAAGCTTTCTTGTCACTCATAGTTGATAGGAACTGTATTTAAAATATAGACCACTTACCTGTAATAAATACAAAAGAGCTGGTGCAAACAAAGTAAGAGGGTATAGGGACTGGTATGTTGCTAAGGCCAGAAATACAGCACTTAGAAAGGTACTGCCTGAAAGACAGGAAAACAAAATCAATGTGACAGTAATACTCAGAAGACATTTGCAAACAGATTATAAAAATAGAAGCATTTGACCAACACAGAATATATAATCTCCAGGTATTTTAAATTTACTTAATACTTCTTACACATACAAATTAAGAATAGACCCAGCCACGGGCTTTGAAAAGAGACATTACATTTTGTTCAAACCCGTACTTTACAACTTGTAAAGTTGACCGATGAACACAGCACTCTGAAAAAGTATAAAGTCATCATGGTATTCTGCTAACATACAAAGATACTCAAACTTCCAAGACATCTTCTGCACTATTTTTCCTCACTGGTCCAGTACACTAGGTTTTAATTGGCAGCAAATGAATTTGTTCTGTGGATAGGACTGAAGTCTTAAGTATGTCCAAGGCTGAGTGTTAACTTTTAAACAGATTACAACTAAAATCAAGATTTACACAGCAACAGCAGGTAATTTCTGAGCAAAAATGTTGTATTTTCAATAATATTTTTATTAATATAAACGGTGAAACCAAAAGTATTGTGACCCTCCCTTCTAAAAAATAATGAACATCAATATAATTTAACTGTTTTTTGTGCCATCTCATTAATGTTCAGTAGTGGAATTACTACTGAAGAGGAGCTGTTCATATATCCCATGGGCTTCTATATATTAGGTAAAGGTAAAGGTTCCCCTTGACAATTTTTGTACAGTCGTGTTTGACTCTAGGGGGCAGTGCTCATCCCCGTTTCCAAGCCATAGAGCCAGCGTTTTGTCCGAAGACAATCTTCCGTGGTCACATGGCCAGTGCGACTTAGACACGGAACGCTGTTAGCTTTCCACCGAGGTGGTCCCTATTTATCTACTTGCATTTGCATGCTTTCGAACCGCTAGGTTGGCAGGAGCTGGGACAAGCAACGGGTGCTCACTCCGTCACGTAGATTTGATTGCACGACTGCTTGGTCTTCTGACCCTGTGGCACAGGCTTCTGCGGTTTAGCCCGCAGCGCCACCACGTCCCTGTTCTATATATTAACACACACCAAATATTCCTGCTGATAGGCAGTACCCAGGGTTCAACAGAACAGTTGCACCAATGGAACCACTTTTTTCAGTGGAATCAGGATGCCGTTCCCTCATGCACACTTAAAATCTAATCTAGAAGGATGGATCAGCTGTTTGGCCACTAGGGAGAGACCTGTTGCAGTGGGAGATGACTGCTAGTATGACATAGGATTTAGGCCAGCACTTTGAATGTTTAAAATAGCACCGCCTTCAGATTCATCCAATATTCTGAAACCAGAAACTCAACTACAGTAGTTAACCAGGTAACTTTGCTAAACCATGGACTATTGTTTTCATGCTCATGTTCTCTACAGATCACATATTTTAATTCTGTTGTAGCTGTATTTCAATACAACCACAATGAAAATGTACAGGGAGCAGGGGGAAGAAAAGCATTATTAACCCTTCAACATCTTCCATTGTTATATAACTTAGTATTTAAAGGGAACACCTGAAAAACAGAGCAGAGTCCAGTGTTTTACAATCTAAAACCATCCGATCCTGTTGGCCACATCCTTTCCCCATTACAGCCTGCTATGCCACCGAAATGCCTGCGTCTGAGACGTTTCAAGCCCTCTGGAACAGGTTTTAAGGGTGCATGGGGACTGCAGTAGTAGACTCTCCTTCTGATGCTGCCAACAGAATCCATATGCAGCTCTAAGCATGCATACGTTTGACTTTTTACATCCTTCAAGTGTTATCAAAAGCAAATAAGAGAGGTATACATATATTCCCAAGTGGATTACCTTTTATTGTTGCCAAAATGAAGAATGAGATTATAGTATTATTGATGGCACAAGTCGATTTTGCAACACAAGACATCACAGAGTATGGATTTAAGAGATAGCTGGGAGAAAAAAAAAAGAAACATTTAAAGTCAAAATCCCAAAATACCTATATGGTGCCAACTTCCTCTTTCAAATGCTTCCTTCACCTCTCCATTCAAACCCACCTTTTTAATGAAGTCTTTGGCATCATAGTACAGTGGTGCCTTGCAAGATGATGTTAATTTGTTCTGTAAAAAACGTCGTCATGTGAAAACATCATCTTGCGAAACGCGGTTCCCCATTGGAATGCATTGAAATCTAATTAATGCGTTCCAATGGGAAGATAGTCGTCTTGCGAAAATCGTCCATAGAAAACATAGTCTTGCAAAACATTGTTCCCCATTGGAATGCATTGAAATCTACTCAATGCGTTCCAATGGGGAAAAATCGTCGTCCTGCGAAAATCATCCATAGAAAACATTGTCTTGCAAAGCGCCACAGCGATCGCAAAAAACAATCGTCTTGAGGATTCATCGTCCCGTGAAGCACCACTGTATATTAGTTCTAATTGGAGCGGAATCAGACCATAGGTACATGTAATTGTTTCTTGCTCATAATCATTACTTCCTTTCCCTTCTCTCCATGAAAATTGTATTGCACTTTACTTGTGGCAGAGACTGAGGGCAGGGTGCTCATGTTCCTCCATAAAACACCATATACATTAATGATCCTGTATAAAAGAAATCCTCCTCAGAAGCTAAGGAATGAAGAATGCTAGGCATTCTCAATTCCGCCATCTCTTATTATGTCAGGAGTATGCATGCGTTATCATCTAAGACTCTGAGCTGAAATGGCAGCTCTGGGAACCTGCCAACATAAGTGCTCCCCTTGCAAAGGCACTTCTTATTTCGCAGCATAGCACAAGATAATTAAAAGTCTAAAAAAGAAACAGAAATAAAGCAGAAAGAGTATATTAAAAGTGTAATTCCATTCAGAGGGATGATGATGTAAAGGAGACACAGCATTTCATAATGGAAATGAGTATGACAACAGACAGAATTAGGGAGGGAGGAAGAAAAGTGAACTAGGCCAGTGGTTCTTAACCTTGGGTTACCCAGGTGTTTTTGGACTGCAACTCCCAGAAGCCTTCACCACCAGCTGTGCTGACTGGGGTTTCTGTGAGTTGCAGTTCAAAAACACCTGAGTAACCCAAGGTTAAGAACCAGTGAACTAGACTTACAACTGAACTAGGCTTGGAACTGGCAAAATATTCATTTTAGTAGATACAATTTCAGAGTAATTGTCACCATACCAATAAAACCAGTATCAGGAATAGACAGTGGTATTACAGATCCAGTAAGGGGTAATCAATGCATAAAAGTTTCTTTTATTCTCTTGACAGCCTGTACCATGGGTATGCATCTAATTCAGAGAGATCCTGATTGAAATCTGACAGATCCAGATGATTAGGTAAAAATCCAACAACTTTTAAATCACTTTATAAAGTGTCTAGTTCTAATGGGTAGGAATTCATTTTAAAAAGAAAAAGAAAAAAAAGAGTCCTAGGAGCAGTAAACAAAATGCACTGAAAATTCTAGCATGGATACGCTGCCCAATAAATGGTAGGATTGTTCCATTTGTCATTTGGAAAGTACCAAAGGAGGAAAGGGCATGATCCCCAGGGACCCACTTGCATGAGTGGCAGGTGGTTGTGAAGTGAGATGTCCCCATTTCCTACTAATTCACACTGGTAACCATATTCTACGCTGTTCTGGAAGAGTCTCTCATCGTTAAGCAGCATTTTGAGAGAAGGCAGATGCGATGATGCAAAATGCCGGAGGAGACAAAACAGCCCTGATGCACAGAACTCTACTTATACCTCTCTGGTGCTAAGCCAATATAAACAGCTATGATAAATAGTCTTCATATTAAAAGACTGCCATCCACTAAAGACAATACTTACAACAGTGCTACCTTGAGAGGAATATAGTACATGGACATGGGAGTCAGGATAAGCTCAGCTGAATCAGGTGCATATTTATCCAATTCTATTAGGAGTTTTTGCTTTTTAAACTGGATACGAGAGAAAGATGACACAGATCAATAAACACAGCAAGTATTCAGCAACGCTTGCTACTCTTGCATCTTGTGCAGAAAACAATCTCTTTGCACCATTACCCAGATTTATAAATGTATTACAGTACTTAACTTGTAATACTCTGCATATGCAGACTCATCTCATGTGTTATGCACATCTGCAGAAGATGGCAGGCCTTTCTAGATTTGCAGCAAATGTATTTAAAAGCAATTTAGAAGATATGGATGCAAATACAGTAAATAAAAGACTGTCATCCTCTTGATAAGCCAATATTGGCCTCTCATAGCAAGGATTCAGAACAGATTGTATTGCACGCATGCCATCAGCAGAGGTTTCCTTTTCAATTACACATGTTAATAAGGTCAAACCACCATTTATCCTGAGATTTATAGGATGAACATTTACATCTTCATCATTTCAACCTCTTCCTATTAATGAAAAATAATCCAACAACATAATTAGCATATACCCTATTGGCTATCAGAACCTTCCACTGATGAGATCTTTCCTCATATCTAATAAATAAGTAATAGTTTCTATTTCCTCCTTTCTATAGAGGCTCTCTAGTCTCATATTTTATACAACTGTATTCAAAAGGGGAAAAAAAGATTAATCTACCCTTCTAGCATACTAATGACTAGACTAGAATCTTTCTACAAAAAGGTCAATTCACTCTTTGTTAACAAACATATGAACATTTGGAATAACATGTTTTAGGCATTCTGGAATAAAATGTATGGAGGGCAGATGGTGACATACACGTGGACTCTATTCCATCCCTCCCCGTGTTGAGGGGGAAAGTCTGCAATGAATGTAATGTACACAACATTCAGCTAATGCAATCACATTCTTCTGCAAGATCAGGAACACAACTGCAGCTTTACTACAGAGCTTCATGGTCAATAAGTAGTGCTGAGGTCCAACATATATGTTCTCATCTGCTGTTTACAAATGCTATTGTTTGAGTGCCCTCAACAGAGTTGCTATAGAACTGAGTACTAAAGGAAGTCTTATACCTTTATTTTTGGCCTAACGTTTTGACTATGAACTTCTTGTCCTCATATTTGCTTTCTGGCACTTACATCCTTCCGCTTATGCTTTGTTCTGTTACTTTGCTGGGTGCTAAGATTCTGCAGTTATGAGGTATTACTCTTAATGTACAATAGCTTTCCTTATTTTTACCTAATATATAAATGTCCAGCTTGATGATGCATATGATTTGTTCTTGCTTTTTTAAATCCTTTATAAATTAAAATATTTCTTCGGGGAGGGTTTGGAGGGATGTGTGTATATAAGCAAGGGGAACCTTTGGTACTAAATCCAGTGCCAAAATGTATTTTGCTAAAGGTTAAGCCTAAGATTCTAGAAGCAGGGAATTTAAGGTTTGCCCTTACTTTCCTAATCTCTAAGCGGTGTCCTGTAGGTCTAGGAGTTCCAGGCCTAGGGTGAGTTGGCATGCTAATTGTAGCATTTGTTGCAAGACTATTACCAGATCCTACTGATTTCAAGTACACTCAGGGCAATGCCCCAGCAATCATGAGGAGCATCTGTTCCATAGCTCCACTGCAATATTATCCTACAAAAATACCACAGCAATATTAAGCTGTACAATTTTGCTACAGCAATATTGTGTAGTATGAGCAAAAACTGAACACATAACAGCACTATCATTTCTCCCTTATCAGAAGAAAGGCAGCCTATAAATAAAACATACAAATACAGTAAATAAAATTTAAAAATAAATAAATAAATAAATAAATAAAAGAAATAAAAATTTACTTACCAGAACTTTGTTGTAATCTTGAATAGCCAAATAGAGAGCTATAGCAGTCAAGACATCTGTTATCTGAAGAAAAGACCAACTACATATAATCAATGAAAATACTGTATAAAAATACAGAAGCTGTTTTCCAAATTAACATCAACCTCTGAGATAGCTTCTGACAGTTTTATTTAGAAGCATTAAGAATTAAAACATCTTGAAACACATTTTTATAGCTGGAACTTCTAAATACAGTATGTGAATTATCAATGGCCCATCAAACTCACTTGAGAAGGCCTAAACAACAGAATGTGTTTATAGAAGAAAGGTGTGCATGTTCAAGCAAGGTGGCTTTGATTTAAATCAAGTTGATTTAAATCACGATACATAAATTCTGGTTTATGACAACCCTTTCCAAAGTTTTCTATGTATAAATATGAGGAAGAAAAGACATGAGAGAGTGTTCCATCCCCTCCCATCCGAAAGCCTGATAGAGATTCTGAAGAAACTCTGGATTTGACAGACCTGAGGGCAGGAATAATGGATAAGAATGGGGAGCCAAAGAAAAGTCTTGGAAATGAGAAAGGGTTAGAGATGGTGGTTTTGGCAGGAAGAGAGGGGTATAAAGAGGGAGGAGCTAAGGAAGAAGTGGTGGGCAGGAGCAGAGGAAGAGGGGAGAGAAGAAGAAGGCTGAAAGGAGATAATAAAGGAGGACTTGTGGACTGAGGAATGAGTACTGTTGAGGCTCCCTTGAGAAGTTGCTGAAAGTCAAGAGGTAGGAGAAAAAGGTACGGAAATCACCCTACTGGGGTGAAACCGCAGAAAGATAAAGGGAAAAAAAGAGAGAGAGCATTTTGAGGGGGAGGCACGTAACTGTGAGACTTGAAAATGTCTGTCCTCCCAGAGGACCAATCATGGGATGAGGCAACTCCTTACCCATCATTGCAAGGACCCAGGCAAGAGAATGTGGGAACCTGGTATCAGATGGGTGTTCCATCAGTAAATATGAACCCAGAACAAAGCTTGTTTCCTATGGGACTGACATGTTGTTACCATTTCCAAGATATGTTAATCCTTCAGAAAGGGATGTTGAGACTACAGTATTGGTAGAGGACATTCAACTCCAAGAGTGGACATCTTGGAGGAAAAAACTGTTAAAGCTGAGTTACCTCCTGCCACGTTTTCATTAAATAAAAACATTGACTTGAAAACTGAAGCGGAGTAAGGCACCTTGACTGAAGGGGCTATGGAGGGAGGGGGTTTGCCAGGACCCCACAACAGAATAATCAGAAGTGATTTCTCCTGGTTGGGGCTTTTTGGGCCTGTGCACTTTTGCCCATGTCTAAACAGGCTGGCTCTTATCTCAGGAGACACAGTAGAGAATCAAACTCCCAATTCCTGGCGCCACTGCCAGAAATCTAAGACAATGAGCTGCCCAGCCAGCTCTTGGTTTCAAAGGAACTAAAAATATCCTTTGATAGCTGCAATTGTGACATGATACTTTGTCTATGGAAAGAAAGAAAAAAGTTCACCACTGATAGATCCTTCTAAATACAGGACATGCTAATATTGGATAAAAGGAGCATGTGTGTACCAAGATGACAAATATCACTTTGTACTACAACAAGGTTCCCTCTAAGGTGTGCATCTTGGGTTATTTCCACAGCTCAGAAGGCTGATGTCAGATCAGGAAAAGTATTGACTAATGTGGACCAAGACCAGGGTACCATGGAATGAATGAAAATTAGTCACACTATTGTAAATTCATACTATAATCTAATGCACAATCAATTTAAATCCAGTATTATTCACTGTCACTAAGGAAAGGCTGGAAATGAACTATAACTGGGATGTCTAACCTTTTGTGTGCCATTTAGAACTGATGTCCCTTCTCCTTTTTTCCCTTGGCAAGCAAACACCATGTGATACCTGACAGTCCCATGAACAACATTATTTTGTTTTAAGAGCAACAGTTGCAAAGACACTACATAGCAGTTCTTATGTACCTAAAAATTCCATTATTTCCCAGTTTAAAAAACTGTAGTCAAAGTGTTAAGGAATACAATGGAAGACACCTGAAAGAGGGGCAAATTATACTATGGATGAAAATTATAGTGTACTTACCATAAATACTAGCTCAGCATAATCAATCAGAAAATGAAAAAGGTATATTGTTAATGGAGTCTAAGAAGGGAAAAGATAACAGAAGAAATACAATTAGGCAGGGGAACTCACAGTCAAGATCTTTCAAAAATTGTGTTAGAAGGAAATACACACAAAATCTACACCATAGTTCTGTGTAAAGACATTACATTGTTTTTTAAGAGCTGGGCACAAATATGTACCATTACTTCAAATACAATTCACTCAACTGAACAGATGTACTCTCTACCAGAAGATGGAAGGCAAATAACAAGATCCATAGGTTTTATGTTCAAGGGTGAGTTTACAGCATGCTCTGGCCTTACATGCATGTACTGTAGTTGCCAAACAAACCATTATCACCCCCAGCTATGTCCACACCAATCACTCTGATGGGAGCGGGGGATTAACAAGTTTTCTTCAAGGAAAAAGAAACATATTTGAAGATATCTTAGAAGAGGAAGAAGTGAAACACTATATACTTACTTCATGAAAAATATCTCCTGAATATGGAGAAACGCCCAAGTCAAGCAAGGCAAGCCCTTCCACCACTGAAAAACAGAAATTTGGAAAGTCACAACAAGACTAAATATTTTTTTAAAAGAATAAAAATAAAAATGACATTACTAGAGCATGGTAACTCTAGATTTCAACTTAAGTTTTGCTTAGAATTATATTATAGCCTTGCTCACTGGACTTGATATTTACTAGAGTGCATACAGCCCAACAGTGTGTGAAATCAGTCTTTACCTCATTTCCAAATATACAGCTTTGGTCTATAATGTGCCAACTCATGGTGGTGGACTAACCATCAACAATATTATTCCATAGGAAAAAATCTTTAAAAAACCACAATTGACAGATGTTCAGTACAACACTGGATGGAATCCTATCGAACATGTCTCCAGTCCCAAAGACCAACTGCCTGTTCATTGAGCCAGTGAAATATTATCCTGATTGGCCACACCAGAAGGAAACAGCCGCCTCCAAGGCTTAATATTGGAAACAGACATCCAAATGAATAATTGTTTGAATTTTTGTTGTTCGTGCCCACCTCTGTGTAGAATCATTACTGGATGCCTGAAGCCAACCCCTATTGATACAATCAATTACCTCGCAGGTATTGCACCGACACACACAGAGAGGCAGTAGCTAATAGCAAAAGACTCAAAGCATCTACATCAAATGTGCATCCATTTTTTTGGCTATCATAATGCTCCTCCCAAATTAAATTAAGGAGTTTTTTTCCCAGAACATCTATTAATCCTGAAGGAGTAGAACTGTCTCCTCTTGAAACAGGTGGAACCTTGGAGAAGTCTAGACCCTGATCACATGGAGAACTGGGAAACCTGGAAGCCACTTGGAAGGGTATGAACTGGATTTAGCAGAACTAAAACGAACCATGAAAATGGTGTGTTTTTTGTGCAGTCGTTTGCAACAGCAGAGAACACCTATGTGAAGGAAATCTATGCACCTCACACGTGTATTATGGAAGACTTGATGTCAGCTACCCCAAATGCTCTTGATGTTGCTCAGTAATGGGTGAAACAATGAAAACTATTTTGCTTAGTGGTCCCATTGATCTTACGGTTAATCAGTTGGTCCTAATAATATTCAAGAGAAATCTACCATTTGCACTTTACAGTTCTTAGATTTAACTCTGCTCTCTGGGACAACAAGAACAGGCATTTGCCTTCCTCTGCTTGACAGATTTTTAGCTATCGGAAATGTGCTGTCCTTACTTTGCCTCCAGGGCTATAAACTCATCCCACCCACCCCCTGCCAAAAAGTTCAGTCACTTTGTGTAAATGGTACAGCCATCGATGGCCCAAGAGCCCGGCCAGGGGAACACCTGATAATCCTGAAACGTTAAATACATTTTTCTTTCACAATTATATTTTTCAACCATTCTTCATGCCCCATGACTGCTTAGCACACAGGCATGTTTCAAAGGGAGAGGGCAGGAAAATCCGATACCACCGCTACAGGTCCCAATGAGGACCCGGGCGCCGGGTGACTCCTTAAGAGCCCGGCTGCTGTACATGCTTTTCCGGCATCCTATACCCATCTAGCCTTACTTCTCGCCTGCAGATCTCACCTCGCTTCCAGGCATTTAAAGGAGAGGCCACCTCCACTCTCTCAGAGATGAGCGCGGCCAGACTGGAGCGGTATAACACGGCCCGAACTGTCACGGCCACTAGAAGCACCAACACCAGGGGAGCCGCCATCTTAGTAGCAGGACACCGGCCTAACACCAGCAGTAGTTGGCAGATGAATGGCTGTCTAGCGTGTGGATTAGGAGAATACTTCAACTCCCAGAATCCCGTGCGTCTCAACAGCCTTTACTTCCTTAGGACGACGGAGAAGGCAGTGGGACAAAGTAATGCACGTTGCTTTTGCGTGGTGATGCTCTTCTTCGAATTACTTTTAAGGCGGACAATAGCACCTTATGATAACAATAGCGCCTTATGATAACCGCTATTATTCATATTGTTTTAGACAATAACCTTTCTGGAAAACCGGGATGCTTCTTTATTTTATGCCCTTCTTATTCAACGATAGGAACATAGTACTGTCTTGTTTAAAATCCAAATTCAGTTTGTTGTAGTATGACATTTGCTGAGCTAGTTTGATTCCTTCCAGTTCCGTTCATAAACTTTTGCAATAGTATCTCATATAAAAAAATTTACAATCCTACACCCAGTTATCTGGGGACAAACTCTTATTATTTCAGTCGGGCTTACTTTTGAACAGATATAAATAGAATTGCGCAGTAAGCCAGAAGAAGCGACCTTGTAACAATCTGTTTTAATAAGCATTTTGCAAAATAAAATAAGGTTTTTCAGTTAATGCAAAAAGAATAACAAGTTACAGCGAAGGGCTTAGTGCAGTACCTCTGGTATGACTATAGATGGCATACTGTAGCCTCCTATTTATAGGTCGTTTTTAATTTCCTGATTCCATGAAGCCCAGTTTCTTCTAGTAGTTTAATATTTGTAGAGTATGTAGAAGTGTTCCAAAGCACAATACAATTAAAATTTTAATTTCAACATTTGTTTAAAAATGAAAAATAGATAATAATTCCATGAATGTGAATACAGTTAATGCTTATTCTGTATGCCTATATCGAGAAGACATAATTTGAAATAATGCTTGTGGAGGAAATTACCAGTACGGTAGACAGGACTTTGCACGTTGGAATAATCAAATAGTTTTTAATATTAGAAAAAATATTTTGGATAGTAGAAATGAGGATATTTCTCCAAAGTAGTTGATTCAAATAGACTACTCCAGTGCAGTTTACTGATCTAAAACTACAACTGAAATTTTATTAGAAGATTAGTTAATAATCTTGTCATTAGCTGGCAGATTCTCAAATTTTGTGACCTGATCGGAATCACGGATGGGGCAGAAAATATCCATGTTCAATCTCACCTGAGCAGATCAAAGGGGAGGGGGGGGAAATAACATAAAAGTTATTGTGCAGTATAAGGATCCCAGGTGGACAAAATGTTAAAGGAAATACAGAGATTACTCACTTTGATTTCTATGACATATCAGCAATATGTGCAGGTGAGATAAAGGTACGTAGGCTACACCTCATGGCTATAGCCCACACCCTTTGTAAAAGATATGGTTCCAAATGCATTTAGAGGGGTGATCATCATCATTACAACAAACACTTTAAGGCTATATTTCTTTGCACACTCATTTAGGGGTATGGCCCCAAAAATTCAGCATATAGAATTACACTAATGTTGGGCCTGCTGTCTAGATGGAAATATAAGAAATTTCTGTTTTCCATTTTCCTTGGCTGTGTAAAGTTGCTTCAGTGTTCTCCTGGTGTGAGAATGGACCAATGGATGGTCAAGTTATCTTGCTTGGGCAAGAAAGTGGACTTGAGACAATGGATGTGTTTATCAAACATCACTAAGAAGTTTGTTTCTTATACGCATGCCATAGCTTATCATGGCAGGACATGGGGATGGGGGGGAGTATTTTCATATGTCAATACAGTACTGCTGAAACATAGAAATGGCATATTGCCCAGCTACAGCCTGTACATGTAAGCAGCAAAATAAATGTATAAAAGCTACTTGATTTGCCCCCTGGTTGCTTGGACTTCTTTCACTGATCTGTAGGTCACATTGTCATCCCTTCTGCCATACTGGGTAGGCCTACATGGCTGTTAGTTACTCAATGAACTTCTATTTGTAATTAGACCTGGAGCTGACTTCTTGTTTCTTTGAGATTCTCACAAATTCCTGTTCTATCTACGGCTGGGATACAACTATATATTTGAATTTTGAAGGTGAAACAGGCATTACAAGTTGTGCAATGTCCTAAGCATCTCAGGCTATACAGATGAGGCTATTATAACATTTATGTGCAGTTCAGTCTGTCATCTATTACCTGAAGAAGCCTCTGACAAGCATTCAGTGGAATACAGAAGTCCTTGTTCACATCACAGTGCTATGCAAGCTTACTCAGAAATAAGCCTGTCTTCATTTGGAGCATACTTCTGAACAGAATCGTGTAGGACTGCACTATTAGTCAGTGTATTGGGTTCTGCTATGAATCAGTCAAAGATCTGAAAGGATAAATTGGGTCCTTCTGCATTCACTCAAGCAGATCTGAATTTATAATACTGCACAAATGAATCTCTGCAGATTTCCTGAGGTAACAGATGAATGTGGGACTGAGAGAAGAATATGGTCAAGGCGTAGTGTCTTTTCGAGGTGACTGTGTTCCTGAGATATGCACAGATGATGCAAGATTGGTGACTGTTGATTCGTAAGCACTATGCTCTTGAGTTCTGTGACTAACAGGACTTATATTAAAGAGCGCATAAGATTTCAGTCACTGGTCGGTCATTTCTTGTATCTAGAACAAGTCTTTTAAGGCTAAAAATGGCTGAGTAAGAAATTATGTTTATATGGCAGATTGTGCTTCATAGAAGCTTCTGATGGGTGCAATTTGCAATTCTGGAAATATCCTTTCGCTGTTCCTGGAGGATATAATACTAAGATCTCACTGAGAAAAGAAAAATCTCCTCTTGGGTTTCCTGTCTCATGGTAAAGCTATCCCTGTATTTTTACATGTTTCAGTTACCAGATCTCAGAGCTGTGCTTCTCTGGGATTTTAGAAGGGAGAACAAACCTCAGGGTGAATAGCAGTGGCAGAGCAGAGAGAGTCTGAGCACTAGTCACATGGCACCAGCACTCACTGGCTCAGTGTAAAGGCATTTGTGTTTATGTTTCTACAGGAAATACACTAGGCTAAAGAACTTACACCTACTGGCTCTCTCCCAGTACTTGTCTTTTTGGCATGCTCGTCTTAGGCCCATCGTGCCATGTCGAGCAAGGCAAGAAATGAAGCACAAGCATTGTAGTTTATGAACCTTATGCGGCTAAGTCCTTGCAGCAGTGGCAGAAGGAGGGGGGGAGAACTCCCCCTCCAAACCCTTGCCACCCTGCTTCCTTGACATTGCATGGATCACCCACTGTCTCAGGGTTCGGTTCTAAATCCTCATGGACTAGGATGGTAATGACCTGGCAGCTCTAGAGCCTATACATTCCTCATATTTCTACAATTCCTTGAACTTTTTGCCTTGGTGTTTTTCCAGTGGATATGTATAATTTTAGAATTATAGCTTTAATTTAAAAAGAAGTAACTGCTTCTGCAAAGCTTCACTTTAAGTTTTTTCTCTGCTGCCAGTGTTCCTGGCTTTTTAAACATCAAAAGTAATTTTTATAACTTCTTCTGTATAGTTTTTAGATCTGCTAAAAATGTATAAGATAAACAGTTTACTGAGAAATGCTATATGTGGAGTATGTTTTTACTGCATTGTACAAATGTGAGAGCTTTTAAACGTTGTGAAAGTTTGTTGGTAATTAATTCCTGAAGTCATCCCCATAATATCTAAAAATAGCTATTTATTTCTTCATTCTTTTCCTCTGCCCAAATCAAAGGAATAAAACTGTTAGTTTGGTTGTGCTTTGTTGAAGTCAGTCCTAGGAACTAAGCAGGGATCAGACTGTGTATATATATCAGCTGTCCAAGGTCTGAGTCATCATTTTATTTTTAAGGGAATAATATTTTTATTAATAATAATAATCTTGTGCCTTCAAGTCAATTCTGACTTTTGGCAACTTTTTTAAAGTTTTCAAGTAGTTTGCCATTTCCTTTTTCTGGGGGTGCCCTGGGACTGTGCAGCTTGCCCAAAACCAGACAGGCTAGTTCTGCTCACAGAAGGCACCGTGAGGAATTGAACTTCCAACTTCTGGCTCCCTAAGCAGGTATCGAAATTGTGCATGTGTGTGTGTGTACGTGTGCGCCTTTGGGTGGTTTTGAAACACAATAATCATTGCAGTGAATTTTCTGTGGCAGCAAAGTGTTTGTCTCCACAACTGCAGAAAAGCTTTTATTTAACCACAAAAATAGAAAGGGGGGGGAGTTTCCCTTTCTCATTTCCTCTGATTCTAGAAACTTCTGACACCACCCTATAATTCCAATTAAGTTGTTGCTGGGAATAGGAGTTTTGAATATTTTCTGATCAGCAAACATATTTGAATTACAGAGGTCCCTTTTTTCAAAAATGTAAATTAATTAATTAAATGAAGGCACAAACATCAGCTATACAAGAGCATTGGCTTGCCACTAATTGCAAGAAAACATTCACATGTCCATAAATCAACACAACCTTGTTTGCCTCAATGAAGTTATATGAAGTGCGGATTTCATTCATTGGCTTACAGCTCAGTGTTTGCACTGTACCTAGGTAGCCTCATAGTAAGCAAATATTAAATGCTGGAAAACAATCCACACTCAAGGCCATGCTCAGGAAGAAGCACTTAGTTGACTGTTAAAACCCATATGGTTGCGTGCAAGCAATTAAAGGTTCAATCCCTGGCATCACAGTGAGAAATATCATGAAATTGTGCTAGGGGTGGGGAGAACTCCACATGAGATCATCCAGAGGTTTGTGTATGTATTTATTTATTCATTCATTTATTTAAAATATTTTTACCCACATTTTTCCTAAGAAAGGACCCAAGATAGACTACATCATTAAAACACAATATTAAAGCTAAAAACAGTGAATTATGTTAGGCAAAGCAGTACTAAAACACATTTAGAAGCAACAAAATGCAAACTATCTCCTTTTAAAACCTTTCCTAGACGGTGTGTCCCTAAGGAAAAGCCCATCTGAAGAGAAAGTTTAGCAAAGATGGGACCAACTTGGTCTCCCATGGGAGGGAGCAGCAGCAGAAAAGGCCCTCTC